TTTCTTAGCAGTTCATAGTACATTCAATACTCTTCTCCAGCATCACAGCTCAAAAGCACCAATTCTCCTTCTATCCTCCCTAGTCATTGTCCAGCTCGCTGATGCTTAACAAGTGATTGCAAAGACCATGGCCTGTTTCAGGCACACCTTAGTCTCCAGAGTGACACCACTGCTCTTCAGTACCCGGGGGAGGTCCCTAACAGCAGACTTTCACATTGATAGTCTAGGCATTGTTGTGGTAGGTTCAGTCAACAGACTCAAAGCAACCCCATGCACCACCACTGAAACCTTGCTTGAAGGTGTGCCCCTCTCACACTCTTTGCTGTCATTTTATCCTTCTCAGGGAGGTTTTTCCTCTTTTACCAACCCTCCACCCTTCCAAGGACTAGAGCCTCCTGAAAACCACCTTAGGCTAATCCGTCCTTATGAGTGATAAAGTGTGAAGTCTCAAAAATTCTGCTTCCAATTCTAGCTGAACTTCTAGCAGATTTGCCGGTTCTTTCGGCAGTCCGTGGTACGATCAGTCCTCCTCACTAACACTACAATTCAAAGGCATCAGTTCTTCTCATGTCTTCTTCATGCACTGTCCAACTTCCAGAAGCATGTGAAGACACGGAAAATACCCAGCTTAGATCAGGTGGATCTTAATCTTTAAACTGGTGTCCTTGCTCTTTAGCATTTAAAAAAGGTCCTTGTCAGCAGATTTGCCCAATGAAATAAATCTCGTAGGCATGAATGGGTCAAAATGGACTACTTTTAGCTATTCTGAATCAGCAAATTATGGTCTACTATGTAGAGAATGATACACTGAAGAGGGATAGTATCATATTGTCAAAAAGAACATTTCAAGATCTATCATGCAGTACAATACTGTCTGTGATCGAATAACATCCATGCATATATATACGGAAGGCCTGTGAATGCAGTAATTCAGATTGATGTATTAATCACTAAAACTAAAGATGAAGAAATTGAGGATATATTCCAAGCTCTACGGTCTGAAATTGATTAGACAGATGCTCAAGTTGCATTGAAAATTATCAGTGATTGGAATAAAAAAAAATTAGAAACAAAAAGGATCAGGCATTAGAAAATAGGGCTGTGGTGACACTGAAAACACGTGCTAGAATTTTTCTTATCCACTGTATATTGGCCTGGTGAAAAAGACGAAGTAAAAGACAATGGAGAGAGATGCTCCATTTTAGAGGACGTGGCCAGAGGTTCACTGTGGAATGGACCATCAATTGCTTATCTGTAAACTCAAACTGAAGGAAACAATAACAAAAGTAAAACTATAAATGTACAGATTATCTGAAGAATAGATTCGCTGCACTGTACATTAATCAAAGACCAGATGCTGTGGGGTGCTATCAAGGACATCCTACATGAAAGAAACAAAAACTCATTAAAAAGACTCGGGAGAAATAAAAGCCCAAAAAGGATGATCTCTGAAACTTGCTCTGGCATGGTATTACTGATCCAGTGCTACAACAATGGGCGTAAGCACATGTGAGGACGGTGCAGGCCTGAGTGTTTTGTTCAGTACAAATGGTCACTATGAGTCGCAACCAACTCAATGGCATCTAACAATAGAGATACAGTATTAAAATTTGTCTATAGGATACAAGTTCACAGTACAAACATGAAAGACTTTAAAAAGTAGAGTAAAAGCAGCAATGAATGAATGGAAATCCAAAATCTCTGTAAATGCTCATTAAAATTATTAAAAAAAAAGTTCCAAATTTTAAAAAAAAGCAAAAAAAAAAAAGAGAAAAAAGAAAAGAAGAAAAAAAGTAGAGTAAAAATGCAAAATCAAGAATCAGAAAAAGAAGAATTGAGGTGGGAATGGCCACAAAAACATTATGTATATTCTGAAAGCTGACAAAATATAAATAATAAAGCTAACACAAATGGGGATATGGGCAGAAGTGACATTAACTAGCTTGTTCCTATTAGTGCCAGGCTTTTCCTGCATGCTGACTTCACTGTTAACAATTGGAAGAGAACGTGTCTCACATCTTTGGAACCACCAAAAAATGTGGTTAGTGCCTGACTTGCAGCATACTGACCAACAGCTCTTAGGATGTCAGTGTATCTGAACACTGGATCATCCTGTTCAAGTTGGTGCATGAGCTAGGCATTATAGACTTGGGTCCCTGTAACTCCAACCACCTTTGTTGTCAGTTTTCCACAAAAACAGACAGATGCCTTTCTAAATGGTGACTGTTCATTTACAGGGAGCCTCTGACTTACGATAGGGCTCCTCTTCCATGACTTCCTAGGTTTATGTAGTTCCTGATTTACCTTAGTGCTGATGGCCTCGTCCGTAGGGAGTTGTACTGCAAACCCAAAGGCCGCACCCTTCCAGTGGCTGAAGTCCACCAGCAGAATCTCAGGAGCGAACAAAAGGTCTACATGCAGACAGACTCATGCTTGGTTACCAGGGATAGGAAGAGAGGGAGAAGGGCATAAAAATTATGAGGCTGATGAGACAGTAGAATGAATGTCATGAAACAAATAATAAAGATTGAATGAAAAACTATCATTTGTAAACTGATACACAAATTAAGCCAGTCTGAGAGCGTACATGTTGTTATATGCCGTCAAGTTGCCTGTGAAAAAGAGGAATGAACTGGGGTGGGGGGTCGAGAAAATAGTGCAACAATGAATGAATGGAAATCCAAAATTTCTGTAAATGTTCATTAAAATTAATAAAATTTAATTAAAAAAAACAAAAAAAACCTCCAAAGAACAAAAAACTGTAACGAAAAAAAGTTGCCTGTGACTCAGAGCGACCCTATGTACAACAGCTCTGAACTCTGCTCCATCCTGTGCAAATCTTATTGTCTCTGGCACACCTACCCACATTATCCATCAGAGTCAATCCATCTCATCAAGTGTCTTCCTCTTTTGCACTATCCTTCCACCCTCCCAAGAATGTCCAAAGTATCTCAGATGAAGTTTCAGGATCCTTGCCTCCAAGGATCAGTGTGGTCTCACCCTCTCTAGGACAAACCTGTTTGTTCTCCTAGCAGTCCATGGTATATTCAATACTCTTCTCCAGCACCACAGCGCAAAGGTTCTATCTGTCATCCCTAGTCATTGTCCAGCTTTCTGACACAAAGCAAGTAATTGCAAAGACTATGGCCTGGATGGCGGTCAGGCAAGAAAAGTTTCTGGGGTCCTTTTTGTTTTACTGTTATTTGTCCCCCCTCAAAAGCAGGTGACCCTTGAACCTCAGACTAAGGATAAGGGTAGAGCCCTGCTCCACAAGGTGTGAATTTAAAATGAGGGGATGGGTCTGTGGGCTGTCTAGGGGCCTGGGAAATCTCTCTCCACTCTGGAAGTACCCATTATGTACAATGGTTGCATGAGCTTCCAGACTGATTCATGTTTGGAAGCAGGAGTGGCATCCACTTCCTAAATGAGGTGCCTCTGGAAACTCTACAAACTCTCTTTTAAATGTACAGAAAAGATGGTAATCATGGAAAAAAGTTCAGGTCTTTTGTGTAAAGCTTATTCTAAGTCATATTCTACTCGACAAGACTTAACCACTTCTAAATGAGACTAGTGCTGTTATATCTGGAGGAACATTCTTCCACTTTGCACATCACTCTTTGTTAATGTGCTGTAGGAGGTAACCTGGGTTTACTATGATGCTGAACCTTGTGCCATGGGGATATCTAATACCGGAATGGTTTCCCATTGCGGAAAGTGCTTGGTGGAGCTCCCAGTTGTAAAACAGGTTGGGAAGCAGGAGTGGCATCCACTTCCTAAACGACATGCCTCTGGAAACTGTGAACTTGGAGAAACAAAGATAGCTGTGGAAAGGCATTGGGTCTTTTGTTCATAGAGTAGTTCAATCTCTACTCCATGGCAATGAACGAAAACAATGGCTTGGATCAGGCACACCTTAAACTGTAGGACAGTAAAAAGATTAGTCATTTCCAGGGGTTTAGTTGGTAGGGAACAAGAAGCACACCAAGCATATCAGAGCTGTCAGAATCCACAGTATGAACAACACAGAAGGTGAATCTTGACGCAAATGATGGACTTCAGGGAAGAGAAAAGTATGAACTGTAACAAAGTTCACCAAGTTTAACAAATATTCCATGTTAAGGTTGTTTGTTGTTGTTATGTGCTGTCGAGTAGTTTGCGACTCATAGCGACCCTATGTACAACAGCCCTAAACCGTGCTCTATCCTGTGCCAATCTCATTGCCTCTGACACACCCATCCCGATTACCCCAGTCACTGAATCAATCCACCTCATAGAGGGTCTTCCCCTCCTGCGCTGTCCCTCTACTCTACCCAGCATGATGTCCCTCTCTAAAGACCTGTCTCTCCTTACAACATGTCCAAAGTATGTCAGACGAAGGCCCAGAATCCTTGCCTCCAAGGAGCAGCCTGGTTTAATCTTCTCTAGGATGAATCTGTTTGTTTTCTTGTCAGTCCATGGTACATTCAATACTCTTCTCCAGCACCACAGCTCAAAGGCATCAATTCTCCTTCTATCCTCCCTAGTCATTGTTCAACCCTCTGATGCATAACAAGTGATTGCAAAAACCATGGCCTGTATCAGGCGGACCTTAATCTCCAGAGTTAAGGTAGGATGTTAATAATGGAGGAAATTGGGTGGGCTGTTGAATATGGGAATCCTGTTTTTCCAAAATGCTCTTAAAAACAGTCTACTAAAAATACTCCAGGCAGAATGTATAAAAATAAACATTTATTTACATTTGAAGCTTCAATCTACCATATGTACATCTCTTAGACCAAATGTGCAAATGTGGGGAGTTTTAAAAAAATAGTCTAAACTCTTCCCTCCAGAGTATAAACAATCATCCAAGATCAGTAGTGCCACCATGGAACCAAAAAAGGTCTGAATGAAGAAAACCAATAATTTTAAACATCACTCAGATATCTTCCTGTGAAGTTCTAACTTTAAAATGGTTCTGAAGAAGCCAGTTATAGCCAGTGTTTTCTTCTTGTCCAAACTTATTAGTAGCGATATACAAATACACTTCCATCCTTCTGTCCAGCCAGCAAATGAAAGTCTGTATCTGACCACTTAACAAAGCACCAGTTTTGTTCAGAGATGGGTGGAAGGAGGGCAGTGCAATGTCCCAGAAGCAAGTCCCAAGTGGCAATCGTTCCAGAAGTCAATACTGCAGCTGCAAAATTATCTTTCACATCACCTTCTAGGAACCTATTAACAAGCAGAGAAGAGATCATTCACATCACACATCAAAACAAATGCAACACTCTTTAAAATAGGGCAAAACCATATTCAGCAGAGGCGCAGCAACCATAGAAATAACTGTAAATCAGAATACCTTACTGGCTAGTCTGCTGCAGTCTCTGGACATAATCATATTCTATCCCGTTCCTGTCAAACAAATCATGTCCACTTTTACCTCAATGCCTTTGTTTTACAGTCTCTTGTCAGGCTCTAACTTCAGATTCTGGCATCACGACATTTTGCCATCTTTCAGGCCATTCAACTCTATCAAGGGTCACACCTAATCACTTATCTCAAGAAGCACACATATTACTTGCACTATGTGAGATTACACTATTTGCCTATTTTCACTATATGTAATTATTCTATTTACATATTTGGTGAATGCCTGCCGGCCCTACAAAACTGTAAGGATTGTGACTGTAATCTGGTTATCTTTTTAAGAGCATGAACGATGCACTCAGCTATCTGGGTCTGAGCCCCAACTCTACAACTTGAGCTGAATGCCCTCAGGCAACTTCCTCTCCACTGGCAATGAAGCCTTTTCTCATCCTCTGTGCTTCCAAACACCACAAACCTCCGTCTTGGCTCTTTCTGCAGTGAACAGTAGTCACTGGCCTCCTACCTTTCATGAAATTAGAAACAAGAGGGGTTTCCTACTAGGTTGTGGTCTGCTGAACAAGTAACATTTCCTTTGTCACTCTGCAAAAGTAACAGGAAATCATGCTGAGCAGTTATGATTATCCTCAATGTCTAGGTCAATGACTAACGCTGATAATTAAGAAAGCACATTGTGTGTAAGCACATATTGTACATGATAGCTGTGAAGTTCTTGTAAGCTCTGTATGCCATTCAAAGAAATAATGCACTGCAACCACCAAGGCTTCTTTGTGAGCTGGTAAAGCTAAACCTCATGCTTTTGATTTATAAGGCCTATTTTCAACCATTGTCAATAATTTCAAACATTTATAAAGGCAGTCTTTAGGAATTAAACAGACCTCACTTACTTTGCTTAACAATGCCAGTGGCACTTCAAAGTTTATATAGCTTAGAAAGCTCTAGAAATGACAATAATTATGCTACTAATAATTATATCTTTCAGCAGTCAGTAATCAGCAAATACTTACTAATCAATCAATAGCAATTGCTAAGAAGATGGAGAGTCAGGCTGATCTCCAATCAGTTTTCAGGGTAAGATATCTTTAATCATTTGTTTTATGACAAGACCACAAAGTTTAAGCGTTTGTAGAGAGTATTATTTTATAAATAAAACGAAAATGTTTACTTTATGAGAAAAAATAACATTGGGTATGATGGATGACTCTCTAATCCATATTGTGGAAATTAAAATAATAGGAATAAAGAGTTTGACTCAAATCTACTAAACATGGTCCTACTGACATTCTTACCATGATCTGTACTATTCCAACCTTTTATTCATCTAAGTGACACAAATAACGTAGCTTTTCTGTTTACACAAGCATGTTTCAAAGTCTGTTCACCGCGCACAGTCAGCCACACTTGCCTGCCGGTCTGCCCGTGAGGAAGACAGTAGAGCATCATGCCCACACTCAGGGCCGTCTTGGGGTTAACGACGATCAGCTGAAACACAGGGCTGCCCAGCCACTCTCTCTCATTGGCACACGGCCGGCTCAGAACAACAAACAAGAGCCCCTGATTTAGGAGGCAAAGCGAATAAGCAAATACATCATCAAGAGCATGTTGGATAGAAAAGGGACTGGCAAAGTTAAACCGAAGAATCACGGAATCACTAACAGATTCTGAAAGGCTAAGGATTGAATCCTACTGCAGTGATGATCACTGGGGTGGGCCTCTGAGTTCTCTTCTGTAGCTTTTCAAGTCTGCCCAGTAAGACACAGATCTAGGTGCATTGCCGACTGACAGCACATCTCAGACCACTACTCATTTGCTGTAATGTCTCTGAGACTATAACCGTGTAGAGGGAGTTCCTCAAAACAGAAATGTTAATTTCTCAATTGATTTTTGAAACACAGAACATATTTTCCTATAAAAGCAATTTTTTGAAACCTAAAACCCAAAACCCTCAAAAGGTTGATGTGGTGGCTAATTCTCAGGTCAGTCTATGATTGTGCATGTAAAACCCAGACACTGCGGTTCCTAACCAAGAGAATAAGAGCAGCACAAAGGTGCTGCTGTGGGGAAGCTAAAGGTGTCTCCTTGGCTTTAAAATTAAAATGACATTTTCCAATAAAAATATTAACACTTGGAAATACACACACTCACATAAAATGACTAAAAGTCATCTTTGGGAGTTGTTGTTTGTTGTTGATTGCCATTGAGTCGAGCATGACTCATAGAGACCCTATGAACAAAAGACCTGAAGGCTTTCTATAACTATTGTCATTTCTCAAAGTTCATAGATACCAGCGGCATGCTGTTTAGGAAGTGGATGTCACGCGTAGGATGGGGAAAAACAGCTCAAGTGGGTGTTACATCAACTCTTTGGAGATGGGGGATTTTTCAGAACCAGTTACCAGGTCTCCCTTCAGAGGTGACCCTGGATGGATTCAAACCTCCAACCTTTCCATTAGCAACTGAATGCATTAACCATTTGCATCACCCAGGGATTCCACTAAACGGCTACCTCAGGATTAATAAGTCATTTGTCACTTTAAATCTTTACAATGAGTGATTTTGTACAATGACAATGAATTACTTTTCAACTGGGAAACAAAAAGCTCAATGTCATCCTACACCACTCATTGGCACCTAGGTGATTCCAACTCACAGGACCCTATGGGATAGAGCAGCAACTGTCTGAAAGGCTTCTCAGGTCACCCACCTGTGTGTAAGCAGACTGCTACGTGTTTCTCTCATGGGACTGATGGTGGGTCCAGCTCACTGACCTTCTGGTCACTTAAACCACCACCACGGTTCAAGAATCCTACAATAGAAGTTGGTGGACTGTGGTCCACAGGCCAACATGGCCCAATGCCTGTTTCTGTGTGGACCATTAGCCAAGAAGGCTTTTTTACATGTTTTGACTTCCTGGGGGGTGGGGAAGGGATTTCAAAATGAAAAAAATTCAAATTTCATTGCCCTTAAAGTATTACTGGAGTAACAATGAATGAAAGAAAATCCAAAATCTCTGTAAATGTTCATTGAAATTAATAAATTTTTTTTAAAAAAAAAGTATTACTGGAACACAGCCAAGGCCATTTGCTTATATATAGTCTATGGCTGGTTTTGTGCAAAGCAGCAGGGTGGGGTAAAAGCCAAAAAAATTTATTATCCTACCCTTTAAAGAAATTTAAGAACGGTAGCCCTGGTGGTACAGTCTGTAACAAGCTGCACTGTTAATCCAAAGGTAGTTCACACTGACGAGCAGCTCTTCTGGAGAAAGATGGGCCATCGCCTCCTGTGCAGTTTTTAACCTCTGAAAAGAGGGTGAGCTTTGAGTCAATTCCAACTCGACAGCAATGAGAGAAGGATTCACCACCTCATAAATCATCTATGGCAACGTGGTTCAAAGTCACACCTGATAATGGGCATCTCACTCCTCAGCACAAATTTACACTTAGGAACCTTATGTCGTTCCCAGACAGAAAATCTAATCACATTATATCAATTATTCTCATCCACAAATATCAAGGCAGAAAACCCCATTATTGTCCAAATTTAAAAATATAGGCAAGAGGGATGGCCATCTAGTAACTATCACTAGGTGTTGTCAAGTTGTCTCTACATCAGAGTGATCTTAGGTCAAACAACAGATGGGGTTGGTCCTACACGATCCTTGGACTGTCTGAAACCACTGCTCTGGCCACGGCCTCGCTCCATGTTCAAGTCATCAGAGTTTCCCCCCTGGTTTGCATTGACCTTCTGTTCTTTTCTAGAAGCTAAATATCACTAAGTTATTGCTCTGGCCGTGTGACACCAGAGGTCCTCGTCCACTTACCATTTCAGAATAGGCTTTGTGGCAGATCGAGGCCTGGTAGGAATCATCCACCTGCATCTTTTTCAGGAGCTGACCGGTTTTCAAATTCCTACACCAAAAATAAGTAAGCTGACACCATTATTCCAGTAAACTGATTTTTTTTTATTTTATTTTATTAGTTTTAATGAACATGTATAGAGATTTTGGGTTTTCATTCATTCATTGTTGCACTGTAGTAAACTGATTTTTATGTAGTAGTCTTACTTATCACACTGCCAAGAAAACAAACAGGTCTGTCCTAGGGAGGGTAAAGCTAAGTTGCTCTTTGGAAGCAAGGATTTTGAAGCTTCCTCTCACATATTTTGGGCCTGTTGCCAGGAGGGATTAGTCCTTGGAGAAGGATATAATGCTCGTCAGAGTGGAGGGACAGCGCAGGAGAGAAAGGCCTCAGGAGATGGACTGATACAGTAACTGGGATAATGGGGGCTGGCGTGTTGCAGACAGTGACACTGGCTCAGGAGGGAATAGGGTTCAGAGCTCTTGTGCATATGATTGCTATGAGTCATAAATAACTGGATGGCACATAACAACAACAGCGTCTTCATCACAGTGTACTTTAGGGACTGACAAAAGGAAAAACTAAGGACACAGGATCTTAGTTTTGTTTAGTCACTGATTCAGGTAAAAAACAGAAACTTTTCCAATAGCTCAGCATGACAGTTTAGTCTCAGACTGAATCTAACACACTATGGATAAATCTTATTTTTTTCCCCCTTTCTCTGAAAATGTTCTGCATTTATTTATATACATATTAAACAGCTATTAAAAGAAAACATTTTCCCCACCTTATGTCATATATTTACCAACTTCTTCAGGAATAAACTGTCAAAAACATAGCAATTTAAGTAGTTTATCTAGGACCTCTTTCTGTCCCACAAAATTCACAACAAGGATTTGTTTGCTGCCCTTTCCTCATCTTTCCCTTTCAGCAGATGAGCAAAAATTATAGTGGCAGTCAGTCAGTCATAAGAAGTGACCATGAGAGGGCAGGGTGGAAGCAGAAGGGTGAGGATGGGTCAGGGGAGGGTGTTAATCACAGGGCTGCACAACTCAATGGGTCGGGGGGGGGTGGTGGTGGTGAAGGAAATGGGAAGAATCTTTTGTGAAAAACAATGTATTTAGTCAATAAATCAGGATAAATTTTTTTTTCTTAAAAGAAGTGACTTAGTGCAACAATGAATGAATGGAAACCCAAAATCTCTGTAAATGTTCATTAAAATTAATAAAATTTAATTAAAAAATAAAAAGAAGTGACTATGAGTACACTTTTTCACTCTGGTTTTTTTAGGCCACAGTCTGATACAGAGTTGGCACTTAGAAAGGTATAATGATCAAAAGAACTAAGAGCTATAAAAACAATAACAACAATAAAAAACTCTAAGATATCCTCTCTCCCCGGCAACAACAGTGAAATTCAACAGGGCAGCAAACAACAAATGCTGGTGAGGTTGTGGAGAGATTGGGACTCTTACTCACTGTTGGTGGGAACGTAGAATGGTATAGCCACAGTATGGCGCTTTCTCAAAAAGTTGGAAATAGAAATAGCATTTGACCCAGCAATTCCACCACTGGGAATATACCCCAAAGAAACCTGAGCGATGATGCAAACAAATGTATGCACACCCATGCTTATGTTCTGTTATTCACAACAGCAGAGATGGAAGCAACCCAAGTCATCAACAAATGAACGGAGAGAAAACCATGGTACTTTCACACAATGAAATATTTACACAGTACTGAAAAACAATGAACTCATAAAATATTATAAACATGGGGGAGCCTGGAGGACATTATGTGGAGTAAAATATCTTAGTCACAAAGGACAAATACTGCATTATGCTGGTGTTATAAAATAGGAAAGATAAGGAGGGGTTGAGGAGAGAACTGGAGAAAAGTAGATAGACAGTGAACACTGCAACAGAACAGATGAGGGGAAGAACCATCCAAATGGAGTATATGATTAGGCATGAAAACAATCTGTAAGAAGGGGTGCACTGCAGGGTGGGCTCAGGAAAGGGAGGCGGGGGTGGGGGGGAAGAAAATGTACAACAATGAATTAAAAATTTAAAAAAAGTAAAATAATACATTTGCATGAGACACTCAGCAAAATTAAAAAATAATGTACACTGAATTTTTTTCTACATGAGATGGCCAAAAGATTAACTATTAGTTAAAGGAAACCAGAAAGGCCACTGTGGAAAAGACAAGACAGCTCTACTACTGACAGCCTTTGCAGAATGGTCTAAAACTTTCCTACTAACCCTCAATCTCTATACATTCTGTTAGTAAAAGAAAAAAATTAAATGCTAATGTAAGAAAAAAATATGAAGTGAACTGTTTCTGACACTTAAAGTTAGCAGTTTATGCCACTACCTATTTTAAAAAGCAGATCAGGGCACTGAATTCCTTTCTAACTCTAGGTTTCTCATTAAAGTATCTTTTTCCTCCAGGGACTAATCTATTGTTTACTTAGTTGATACACTCTCTTCTGAGCCAGAAAAGTGACTAGCAACTCTGTAAAAACCAGCAAGCAATTTTCTTGAGTCTCTTAATAAAGAACAGGATTTCAGTTTTTTACAAGGAAAACTGAACTTTCCCATTTTTTTAACTTCCCTTTTACCCTGAGACAGCCAACAGGTCCTGCCATTTTCTCCTGGTGACCTTTATCCTATAGTTTTCTTCTGGAGTGTCTTTAAACAGGCCCAGGTTCTTGGAAGTATTAAGATGAAGGGAAAACACTGTTTTCCCTCTGATCTGGGGGACTGAGTTCTTCCTTCACAGGAGAAGACTCTGGGGTCCGGCTGTCCAGTGGAATGAACACATAAGCTGGGTTTCTGAAGTGTATATTATTGACAGCTAACCAGAGTTTTGGAGACAGAGCACTTGAACAAAGGGTCTTCTGGAAATGTCATTTTCTGACTGTGGCTACTTCCCTGACCAACGGAATTCCCAATGTTGCTGAACTGGGAGAAGTCTGTGGACTCTCAAAAGTTAAATGTGAGTGTGAAATGTAATAAATTGCATGCAAAAAGAAGCAGGGGAAAAAAAAGTTAAATGTGGAAACTTAAAAACAAAACAAAACAAAACACAAAACTGTGGAAACTTGGACGTGGTAGATTTCCAGTTTGAATGTCTTGCCTGGTCTTGACAAAAACGTTTCTGGTAAACATGGAAACTACTTTCTGCTGCTATATCAAACGGAGGTAACACCCAACTATATTGGCACTGATAGCTCTGTGGTCAACGGGCTTGCTGGGCACTTTTCTTTTTTTTTTTTTTTTTTTTTAAAATTTGTTTGTTCAGGTGTAGATCAAATGAGGATTCTTGGGCCAGGCAGAAATATCCATTTGTTCATTATTGTACATTCGTCCCCCCCCCCCCCCCCCCCCTGGGGCCTTTTTTTTTTTTTTTTGTTTTATACGGAAAGGGCAGCATTTATAAACTTTGCAAATCATACTCGACAAGAGTTGACAGGTAAGTTCAGCTAAGTGCCCTCTAAACAGTGGATGTAGGGGCTGGGCACTTTTCTACTGTGGCTGATGGGAAGCTGTGGAGATCCAGAGGTGTTCGAGTCCCCCCAGTGGCAGCTGGTGGAACTGCAGCGGAGCTTTCTGAAAATCCCTTCTGTGACTCTTTCTAGGAGGCATGAATGGGGGAATGCAGAGCAATCAGAAATGACAGGATGCTGGTTGCAATCAGGTGGAAGGATGGGCAGCAATTTCAGCTCACGCTTGGACCCAGAACACACGCCCTTGGTACCAGGTGTCAGCAGATAAACAGCACTGGGAAAGTCAGCTGCCAGGGATCTTTGCAAAGACCTCAGGAACCATGATGTCAGTTTTTGAGGACTAAGGTGTGTCTGATTCAACCACAGCCTTTCCAATCACCTGCTATGCATCTGAGAGCTGGACAATGAAGAAGGATGATAAAAGAAGTGATGCATTTGAGTTATTGTATTAGAAAAGAGTTGAATATTCCACAGACCGGTGGGCAGGGTCCCAGGCTGCGTCTCCTCTCAGCACCCAGCAAGGTTCGAGCCAATCTCTCCAAATTAAGTAAGTTTTCCTTTACCTCATTTTATCTGGTAATGAGGTACATTATTTATAACACTATCAATTTTTTTATTTTTTGTAACACCATTATGCCTTCATTTTTCATGGAAACAAACACAAGGGAACGGAATTTGGATCAATGAGATATTACTCCTAAACCAGACTTGTTTGTGGGTTTCCAGAGACCATCAGTCTCACAGGAGGAGACTGTTCCTCATTCTCCCAGAGGAGTTGGGGGATTCAAACCGCCCGCCTTTGGGTTGGGGGCACAACGCTTTACTCACCAGTTCACCAGAGCTCCCTGTACAAGTGCTAGATCAAAATAATGGGAGTTGGTAACAATGAATGGGGTAAAAAATAAAATAAAGACTACATGATAAATTCTCTATCATGTCACTCTACCCATCAAGAAAAATTTTTAAAGCCTCCACATTCACCACAGATAAAGTTCAAGGTCTTGTCTATGACATTTATAATCCGAGTTCTGGTGCCTGAGAGGTAAGGAGTTACCAGAGATGTTAATCTTTACAAAGGACTGCTCATCTGTCTCCCCTGGAGCTTCCCTTGAACCTTGCAGTTATCAGCCATGATGTATTACATGTATTACATGTCACACCATTAAATCTCCTTTTTAATCTAGAATCAATATAATTTTGTATAAGAACCTGTGCTGCAATCCCAAAGGCACATGGTTTGAACCACCAGCTGCTCCAAGGGAGAAGGCTGGGCAATCTCCTCTTGTGTGATTTATTGCTCTGAAAACCCACTGGAGGGTCAGCTATGGGTTAGTTCTGACTCAATGGCACACAAGAGCCCTACACAAGGAGCTAAGGCAGGCACTAAGAATAAATGTAAGACAGTTCTTATTTTCAAGGATCAAAAGGCTATAATGCAAAGTAGCATAGGCTAAAGTGGAAACTGGTCAACATGATTCCAGAAAGGGAATCAATGAAGGGTTGAGATAATGTGAGAGAGAAAGGACTTAAGGCAACTGTGTGGCTGACGATTCCCCTTTAAAGAAGTAGAGAAATCTCTTCCCTAACCTCAAATTGTGCAATCCATTACGTGAAATGCCAAGGGACTACATTTAGGATGAGTAGGGATGGGAAGGAAAAAGGGAGCTACAGCCTATGGCGTAACAGGCTAGGACATTTTATAACAGAGGCTGGAGAAGTAGAAGTTGAAGGAGGGCAAGCCTGGGCCTGGTGATTCTCCTCCTCTGATTCTATGGGAGTGACCAGATCAGGCCACAGTTACCTGCGAAGTTCTTACCTGATCTAAAGGGAAGCAAAAAGGAGAGTAACACCTACATGAGAAAAAAGTGGTCTCGTTTGCTTGGATCTACACATGATAGAAGGACGGAAGAGAGGTGAGCGCCAGATTGTAGGGGAACATAAGGGACAGGCAAACCTAGACAAAGCTTGAGTATAAAGGAGCTTTTGTTTGGTTGTTAGGTTGCTGTTGGAAGGAAGTGTGTATAAAAAGCAACAGTATAAAATTAACTTTGTAAATGCTTATGGCTGTGTATGGTTCTTCCCTGTTTTTGTGAAAATGTAGCAGCTGGGAATGGCCAACTTCGATAGCTCATTCATTTTGTTAATCTGGCCCCTATAATCATGTATACTTGTGTATTTAGCAACAGCTATACAAAAGACATCATGTCTCGTGAAGAGAGGGTCAGCAAAAAAGAGGAAGATCCTTGACAGGCTGTATCAGCACATTGGCTGCAACACTGGGGCCTGAGAACCACCGAGACGGTGAGGATGGCCCAGCTCAGGCAGAGCTTCTGTCGTACACAAGAGTCGATGATGAGCTGAAATCAACTAGATAGCACCTAAAAGCAATTTTGGACTGTACTCTCAACATTATAGCATTGCTGCTGTTATGCACTGTTGAGTCAACTACAACTCATACTGACTCTATGAACATGGCTCTGAACCCCGCCCTATCCTGAGCCAACCTCACCATCATGACATACATGACCCCACTGTCATAGTCACTGTATCAATTCGTCTCATCCAGGGTCTTCCTCTCCTGTGCTCACCCTCTTCTCTTCCAAGCATGGTGACCTTCTCCAAGGACTGGTCTTCCTGGCAATATGCCCAAAGTATGTGAGATGGAGTTTCAAAATCCTTGCCTCCAAGGAGCAACCTGGATTCATCCTCTCCAGGATACAATAAATCACGCAAACTCTGAATTATGTAAGGTTACTGTGAAGAAGCCTGGAGTAGAGGACATTATGCTGAGTGAGTGAGGTATCTCAGTCACAAAGGGACAAATGCTATATGGTACCACTGTTGTAGAAGGAGGCTGGCATTGGGGTGGGGGTAAGACTGGGAAAAACTGGATGATATATGTTTACGGCATTGAAGTCTATGGGGGAGAGAATAGTCTAAAAGTATTATATTTTAGGGCATTACCTTTATCGTAGGAGTATACAATGAGGGTTGCAGAATGGATTATATTTGGGGGTAGGGGGTGGGGTTTGGGGAGGTGTGGGGGGGTATTGTGTACCAATGAGGGAGTTTTTCTTTTGCTTTTCAAGGAGAGGAGCAAATGGGGGGGGGTAGGGGGGAGGGGTTTGTGCGGGGAGAAGGGTGCAACAATGAATGAATGGAATCCCAAAATCTCTGTAGATGTTCACTGAAATGAAAAATAAACAACCTAAAAAAAAAAAAAAGAAGCCTGGAGTAGCAATCACAGTTCAATTCTCTAAGCTTTAGCTGGCCTGCTCTGACACTGATCTGTGTTTACTAAGAAACAGCAAGATAGGCAAAAAATTATATCCAGAATTTAGGGTTCCTTCTCTCTGTTGCTTTTGAAGATTTTCCCCTCCTTACTTTCTAGCTGCTGGTATTACTCCACTTTTTAATTCCTTTAAGCCAGTAAGACGGAGGTTTTCAATAGGGTTTTAGCCCCCAATGACCACAGTGGAAGCTGCTCTCTGGACAGAAAAGGGAACCTGCCCAGCACCATTCCCTTCTTCAAAGTGTTCAATCTCTTCCACTAGCTTTTTATTTCTGTTTCCACACCTGCACCTCAACAGAGTGCGCTCTGCTGGTCTAGTGACTAAGGTGGTGTACTGCCAGGTCAAAGGCAGGCAGCTCAAATCCACCAGGTGCCCTGAGGGACAAAGATGGGCAATCTCCTGTCACATGATTTACAGCCTCTGAAAACCTGATGGACAGACAACAATGACCTAAAGACAGCTGTTTCAATTTTGTTTGGACTTTATAGTCACTTGAAGCAAGCAAGCTGGTCCTGCAGTAGTTACTGAGTCATTAACCAGAAGCAGAAATAGTATCAGTTTTTGATAACAGTAAAAATATTCCATTTCTTTTAAAATATTCTTTTCAGTCAGACCTTTTTTCATAACGTGTGAGTGAATATACTCTTGCTCACACAAGAATATAGTTACTACAACAAGATTAGTTTATTTTAAAACTCAATTATGTCGATCCCTGGTCTCGTATCTAATCTCTTATAACAACTCTGTGAAGTTCAGGGTATGTGCTCATACTACAGGTGAAGAAACTGTGGGCACAGAGGGAAAGCTTACCAAAGAACAATGTTGTTCATCAGAGTGGTACCAAGCAGTGCTTCCTGCATTCCATGGACCTCGGCAAAAGCTAGTACAGTCTCGTCAGGGGGCATCAGGAACTGTTTTTCTTTGTTTCTGCATTTTAAACAACATTAAAAATCAGTACTTTGCGCAAAATTTCTAAGCAGTTCTTCTATACATCCTTGAATTATGCATAATGGGACAGTAGACTAATTAAAAAATTAAGTAAAAACATTCACGTTTTTATTTTTTTCCTACTTTGAATGTGCATCACTGTACACTAACTACCTAGATATACTGAGAGTACTTTCAATTCATCATGTTCCGTATCGGGCTCTTTCAGCCTCTCTAGTCACCTCACAGGCAGCTCTGGTGCTCTAACGCTAACCCAATGGCCATACCTCTCTGGCAGTTTGAATCTTTTTTGAGTTTTACCTCAAAGTATATCATCTAACCAGGTGGGTTATTCCACATTCCCGGGCATCAACCTTGTCTCCTCATACCACTTCAATCAGTCACTAGGTCCTGACGATTTGGTATTTCATCCCTCTGGCATCTGTCTGCCTCTCTATCTCCACCAACAGTTTGTTAATTTAAGCACACTGCTGTCCTGCCCCTGCATCTCTGCAGTAGTTCATTAAAGAAAAGCACAAATACGATCTCTGTTTTCCTTCATTAAAAAAGACAAATAATGACTCATAGTAAATTCTGATGAGTCTATGCGAAGCATAGGGGATCATATAAGAGCCTGGCATTCAAAAGGTTGAATCTGATGTGATTAGACATCCAAGAGATGAGTAACAAATAAATATGTTGGTCTATAGCACATAAGAGTTCAGAGCCAGAGATATGTTTGCAAGTAGTCAACAGTTAGATGGTAACTAAAGAAATGAAAATAAACTATAAGGGCCTAGGGCCTTTGTGGTGGTGCACTGTAGAGTCGGAATCAACCCATAGTTGACTCTCCAGTGGGATTTTTGAGGCAGTTCATCACACTGGAGGAGATTGCCCATCCTTCTCCCGCAGAGCAGTTGGTGGCCTTTGGGATTATAGCGCACCATTTTGCCACTAGACTAATATTGAAGAAGTCCAAAAGAAAAGGCAAGCTATGTATTGCAATCTTATGCCATATCCAGCTTCCATCTTTTCTTCTTTCCCCCATTGTTGTGTATCGCCAAACTGGATCCAACTGGCACAGGAGATTGCCCCTCCTTCTCCAGCAGAGCATCTGGTGGATTCGAACAGTACACCTTCAGGGTTGCAGTACAGCTTCTTGCCACTAGGCGACCAGAGCTCCAGAGCTTCCAACCTATCTACAGTATGTTAAGGAGCTCTGATAGTGCAGCACATACCATACCAGGCTGCTAACTGTTTAAGGTTGGCGGTTCAAATCTACTAATCCCTCTGGGGACAAAGTTGAGCCATGTCCTCTCAGAAAGGCTCACCGCCCTAGAAACCCACTGAAGGGTTGCTGGGAGTTGGAACTGACTTGACAGCAGCCGGTTTAGTTTTCTATTTTTGTTGTGTAGCGTTAGGGTTATATTACACCTAAACTCACTGCTGTCTTGGACCTACCCTCCAGGCCAGAGCAGACCTGCCCCACCGGATTTCAAGGCTGCATATCTTTATGGAAGCAGACTGGCCCAACTGTCCTGTGGGTTTGAGCTGTTGATCTTTCAGCTAACAGCCCAGTGCTTGCTCATTGCACCACCAGGACTCCTTTGCACTACGCCGACAGCACAGGTAATTAAGATCCTACTGATTCAGCTTTGTGAACTCATTACTCCACAGCTACAATAATCATCAATGTCTTTTCTCACCCTCCATCTTCGGCAAATGTCAGGATTTCTATTTGCTGATCAAAGAGTGTCCTACTGCTACTGACCAGCCTCCTCTGAGTCAGGCCAAGCACAGCATTGATGTGTCCAGATTTCAGCAGCAACTGCTTTTCACTTTCATCATCAGTGGAACAAAGCAATGCCCTAAACAAAATCAAAGGAAAAGTGGGCAGACATCAGGCAAGAGCCTCTAATACTTTTAAAGGACTACTTTCAAATGGTAAAGGGAAACTTCACTTCAGTATGGCACTTAATCGCTTACTTTTTTTTTTTAAACGGATTTCTTTTTAAAAACAAATTTCTCTTCAGTGCTAATGACTCGAGCCAGGTTGTAATTAGTACTCCTGACAGTCTGACAGAAACAAACATAAAGGAGCAAGAACAAAAATCTTTGCATTACCTACCTGATTTCTCTAATTTCCAAATTTCCCAAAGCTACACACACAAGACTGCAAACATCAGGCACTGAAATGATTTGTAACACTGGTATCTAAAACAAAACAAGGTACACAGGTAGTACAGAGCTGTCAGGACTTAAGAACTCATCTCCATATGGCCGCTGGTTGTTTCTAATGATCTCAATTTCCCCAAATATATCCCATTCTTTTCCATGCTTACTGTAATTGGGGTTCCCCCTTGAATGTGAGGTACTGTGGAACACAAAAGGTATTGGGTAGCCTGTTAACAATGTAAATAAGGTAAATGGTACCTTTTGGGTGGCAACAAGGAAATAAAGTGTGTAGGATGCTAATGTGGGACTTGATGAACTTTGCCATCCAGCTCGGCTTAAACTGAGCAATCCCAGAGGTGGCAGAGTCCTAGTGAGTTGGACTGCTAACCTAAAGGTGGCCAATTAAAATCCATTAGCAGCTCTGCAGGATAAAGATGGGCAAACTCCTCCTGTACAATCTACAGCCTCCAAAAATCCACTAGAGGGTCAACTATGAGTTGGCTTCAACCTGACTACAAAGAGGTCTTGAATTTTGAGAGGTAAAAAATCAGAAACCTTACTACCATCAAGAAAGAAAAAAAATGAAGAATCAGAAAGTAGCATGTACTCTGGACCTGAGATATCCTTGCGAAACAGAGGCAGAACTACAAAGATGGTGCCAGATGGCACGGCAAGAGATAAACACAGAAGTAGTGAGTAATGGCAATGAGGGCAACAGAAGTGGTGGAGAACCAGACTGTACGATGTAGAGCTGTGGGCTCCTGGCTCACAGAGCAAGAAAGAGCTGAAAACCTGAGGGCAGACTGAGAGTTTCTGAGCACCTGCCAGCCGTGGGGAAGAATATCAGAACTTGCTGACCCACAAAACTAAAGCAGATCACCTCGAGGCTTAGGCTTGTTGGCAGAGGGGGAGCAGTGTATAACTGAGCTAAAGGTACTTTCTAACACTTGCTCAAGCAGGGCAGAGAATGGGAGTCAAAGAGCGACCTGCCTACAAGGCCTCCTGAGAAGAGACTGTCCAGATTCAAACTGTATGTTGTCAGTTCTCATACCCAAAGTATAACTTGTTACTTCCCTGATAAGCACTGTAACTTTGAGTCCTGCCTGTGAGGTCTGTGTGGTTACTGTAAAGAATTTGCAAACCCAGTAGAAGTAGCATTATCACATGAGGATATCATGTGAGGGACGGCTGCTGTGCAATTTGTTAGGTTTGGTGTGTGTGTGTGTGTGTGGGAGGGGGGGTATGAAAGGTCTCCTAGGAATCAGCTTTCCCTTATAAAGGGGTTTCTTCACCCTTGTGAAGTTGGGGAAATCAGTCACTGCTGCCCCATGCCATCACATTGCTTTTATGGTAAACCGGAAGTCCATATAAGCTATGTGAATGACAGTATTTATTATTAGCAAGGAGCTCTGGTTGCACTTAGCTCTGAGCTAAGTCTTGGCTGGTTAACTGAAAGGCTGATAGTTCAAACCTGGCAATCTGCTCAGATAAAGATTAGTCTAGAAAACCTGTGGGGCAGTTCTACTTAATCACCAGGGTTCACAACTTATCAGAACAGACTTGATAGCAACTGTAGTATAATGAGTTTATTGTTCAAATGGCTTTCCCAGCACACACTGGCCTTGGACTTCCGGCATGTGACTAGGTAGGAACATGCAAATAAGGTGTATGGACTATTAATGGGATTGGTTAGTCCTGCTATTCTAACAGGCTTAAATTGCACAGGTTCAGCAGAAAGAAAAAAAAAGAGAGAGAGAGAGAGAATGTCCCTACTAGCAAGAAAGCTGCAGAGCAGGAACACAGCCCGTGGCTCCTTCATCCCTTGGAGCCATCATTCCTATGCCATCGGATCAGCACCGAGATGAGCGCAGAACAGCAGCAGAGATTCCTGGGAGGAGACTGAGCTGACCTAGGAAGGCTGTCCTAGCAGAGGCAGAGCCAGGGTCCCTCACCCAACCTTACCGGAGATGCTGTAACTGGCAGGACTAGGAGAGCTTTGTAACATGGCCTAAAGGCTAAAGCCTTGAGGCTGAAAGTCAAAGGGTCTGTAAGTACCTGAGAAGCTGTCCTGACTGAAGGCCTTGATCCTTTTTCAACTTGAATTGGTTGTTCTAAATAGTATGTGATGTGATCAAGCAAATGACTGTGGGTATTTACAGCAGCTCCAGATGGGCAGCGTCCTCTCATCTCACTTAGTGCCTCTGAAAACTCACCAGACGGTCAGCTATGGGTCAGTTCTGACTCGCTGGTACACAACCACTACTCTAATAAATTCTGTAATTGTAGGATGGCCCTGTGAGTTCTTTGTGGCCACTCCAAAGGATTATCAGACCCAGTGGCAGAGCAGTAAGAGCCCTGGAGGGACAGTTGGTGTTAGAATTTGTAGAAGCAGGTGCCAGGTGGCAATGTGGGGACATGTCTGACTTTACACGGCAAGTTTTGAGTTGTGGATGTTGCTGATGGGGAGTGTTCCCGGTGGAGTTAATGACGGTCAGAAGCAGCTCCCCTCAAGCCACCTGCATTATTTTTACAGCAATTAACGGCATTTATTATATCATGTATTTGGTAAAGGAGTTGCACTGCCAACCCAAAGGTATGCAGTTCTGAATCTACCAGAAGGATGGGCAATCTCTTCTTGTGTAATTTACAGCCTCTAGAAACCTGCTCATGGGTCAGCTACAGGTCGGTTTCAGACTTCACATTACGTAACAACAACCCACATTTAATCACATCTAGCTTGGAAGAAGTGCAGCCAGAATGCTCCTTAGAACTGAGGATGCTGAGACTTTGTTTCATGTACTCTGGACATGTTACCCCAGAGAAGGCCATCATGTTTGAGAAATAAGGAAAAGGTAAACCCAAATGAGGGAGGCCTTCAAAGAGATGGACTGACAATGTCACTACAGCAACGGGCACAGACATGCAGACAACTGAGAGCGGCACGGGCACCTATGCAGTTTCACTCTGTGTACAAAGGTTCCTGAGGATTCTGGATGGATTCAGTGGCATCTAACAGGAACAGCATATGTTTAACAACAGAGAAGTAATTATAAATCCTGGTATGGTGCAGGCATTTGAAGGCTTATTAATTTAACAAATACTTATGGGTGTATTTGGGTGTAAAGCTGGGGATATGGTGGAGAACAAGAATAAAGATCAACAATGTTGAAAAATATAGAAACAATGTAGAACAATGCTCTACAACACTTGTTTCTGCAACAATGTAGAAACAAAGAAAAATGCTGGTAAAGTGAGAAAAGGTAAATTATAAAGCATGTGAGATATGTGTAACTGATGGCAGAGATTATAAAGAAATACATCTTAAAATGAAGCAGGAATGTTTTCGCAAATGTAAGAGTATCTAGGTATTGGCACATAAATCAGAATATGCATAAAATTCTAAGTTATTCAAAAGTGTAGGATAAAAAGTCACCTCTCTGAATGCTGTTGTTACTGTTGTATGCCATCAAGTCACCTGCAACTCAGTGACCCTATGTACAGCAGCTCTGAAGCCTGCCCTGTCCTGGGCCAGTCTCACGGACTCTGACACACCTAACCCCTTGCACCAGTTACTGAATCAATCCATCCCATCCGGGGTCTTCCTCTCCTGCGCTGTCCCTCTACCCTTCTTTTGTTCTTTCTGGACAGGTGTGTGATAAAGCAAATGACGGTGGGCATATACAACTTTTCAACATATTTTAAAATGTTCAAACTAGCATATTCTTTGTTGTTCCCTGCATGGTTATAAATTTCACACTTGGTAAGCTGCTCGTCTACAGTACTATGCAATCAAGATCTCTGTCAGTTACAAGATTTCTAAGTTACCTCTGTAAAGTGCCAGGTATAAACTTTTTCCCACTGCCAAGTATCTAGAGGCTTCCAAAGAGAAACAGCATCTTCACAAGCAGTTATGATGCACGGCTCTTTACAACCGGCTGTTTCCCACCACATGGTACTCACATCCACAGAGCAGGAGCCTGAAGGATTCTGACAAAACATTTAAAGAGATATTTGAGGTCTGCTCTATCGAGGAAAAACAAATTTTTTTTAAAAAGTGTTAAGTTTAAGTGATTAGATAAAATATCAAGTGAGTTAACATTTTCTGAAGTTCAAGTTCATTAAAAAAAGAGCTTTGGAGGGGGTCTTATGTTACTAAAAAAAAATATTCTGTCCATACACATTTATAATTTAATAAATTTAAAAACATAACCTAAGAATGGAATAAAGGTTTAACCATATAAAGGGTGCCCATAAAAAAACCTATCATTTGGGATCTCTGATGCCCCAGTGGTTAAGAAGCTGTGCTGCAATCCTAAAGGAATGAAGTTTGAATCTACCAGCTGCTCCAGGGGGGAAGATATTGGGTAATCTCTTCCTATGTGATTTATAGTGTCGCTAATAAACCACTGGAGAGGGTCAGCTATGAGTTGGCTCTGACTCAATTTCAAACAACAACAATAACAACTATAATGCTTTTATTAAAAAATCTACTTAAGAGGGAAGAGAGGAAAATGTACAACGAATGAATAAAAAAGTAAAATCTACATAAGACTATATCATGTTCCATTTCAATAAAAAATTAAAATAAAACCCAAAAACTAAACCTAGCCATTTAGAAATTAAACAACCTGGTCAATTACTCCAGAAGCTTCAGGGAATATTCAAATGGAGAGCACTATATATTCAAAACCACGGAGCAAGGCTAAACGAGTATTTCAAAGAAAAAGAAAAAGCTTAACTATAGAGGCATTTATTAGAAAACTAGCAACATTAAAATAAACAATACAACTCAAAAGTTAAGTATAAAGAAAAACAGAAGGAAAAAATTTAGGATAAAATGAGAAGTAAATGAAGTGAGAAAAAGTGAACTGACAATCAAAACCTTTTTTTGTTTTAAAAGATCAACAAAATCGGTAAGTTTCTGATAAATCAGATGGAGGTGAAGAATTAGAAAATTGTTTATCCTTAAATAGAAAAAAATGACTCATGAATAGCTTTGAAATAGACCGCATGTATTACTACCATTTACAGGAAATGAAAACAGAGCTCAGAGGTGAAATAATTTGCTGACACAACCAGTAAGAGGCAAAATCTAACGAGGCTTTAAAGTTCTTCCCTCTGTCCCAGAGGCTTTCAAATGAGTGATTTTGGCCAACAGATAATTCCACATCAAGTGTCCATTAGTGTTATTGCTGAGGTAACTCACTATACAGTCCTTCTGGCAACATGACACCGTGGATTAGGAGAAGCATGAATGATTCCTTTCCAACTCTTCTCTTCCTCTCTTTTGAGCGGAATACCTCATTTAAACTTAATACAAAGCTGAGATATTTAGCTTATGTTGTCATTGGCAAGAATTTTACATATAAACTATTTAGGAGAAGATCTCAAAGTATAAACAAAGGTATTTTAAAAAACAAATGTTTTTCTGAGTCTGTTTTACCAATTTCATTTAATAGTATTTAATAGCACTATGAAATACTATTTAATACTATTAAATGAAATGGATATCCTTGGTACCAGCAGTCAGGAAATAAGGAGACGCATTGCACTGGGAAAGTGTGCAGATAGGGACCTCTCCAAATCATTGAGGCATAATGATACCAGTTAGAGGACTAAGGTGCATCTGATTCAGGCTGTGGTTTTTTTGATCACTTGCTATGCATCTAAGAGCTGGACAATGAATAGGGATGACAGAGAATGAATGACTTTGAGCTGAGGTATCGGAGAAGAGTACTAACCCATGGACTGCCAAAAGAACAAACAAATATGTCTTGGAAAAGGTGCAGCCGGAGTGCTCTTTGGAGGCAAGTATGATGAGGCTTTGCCTCACATACGTTGGGCATGTAGCTAAGAGGGGTTATTTCATGCAGAGGAACAAGATACTTGGAAGGGTGGACAGTCAGCGAAGGAAAGGAAAATCCTCAATCAACTGGATTGACATGGTGACTGTTGTAATTGGCTCTAAGGAATCAGGAAGTGTGAAGATGGCACAGGTCAGGGTCCAGGTCTGTTGTTCAAAGGGTCGCTATGAGTCATACCTGACAGCACCTAACAAGAATATTATTAAATACAGAACAAAAAAGACCAAGTTCCTTTAACTTTTCCTATCATTCATTAAATGCGTTAGCAAATACAAGACAGCATAAAGAAACATACTTCTGACCTTTAACTTTGAAACCAACTGTAGGCTGCCTGGGCTTAAGTTACTCAAAGCAGGAGGGTCTGCTATTTCAGTCTGTGAAAACAAAAATCACATCGTTAATCTATGCAGCATGTTAGGATGTCTGTCTGCCTCATTCACCCATCAAAATATCTACTTCATGTATTTTTTCCAAAATCAGCAGCAAAGTTCCAAATGCAACAGCTTCATTAATTACAAAGAAAGTAGGATCACTGGATTTAAGCAAAATACATTTAATTCCTTCTGAATGCTTTACCCTGAAGCTTATCAAAGAAACATAGCAAAACACCCCTACACACTGAGAAATCAAAGCTGACCATACTAAGACATTTCCTGTCTTCAAAGATAATCTCTCAAAGGAAACATTTTACCTGTTCAAGTGTATCTGTATATAGCTCCAGGCATGTACTTCCATGTAGCTGGTTTCCTGGGGGTGTGAATGATTGCACAGGGAGAGGGGAACATGAGTCATGGTCACAGTCTGGGGGTCCTTTCCTGTCTAATCCATGAAGGCTCTTATCCCATTTCAAGGGACTGACAGAACTGTTACATTGTTTATCATCTCTAGCCAGACGGGCCCTTTTGTTCAAATGAGAAAGCTGGGGTGTACAGCCAGTATCTCCAACAATCTGTGAAGATACATTTTCAGAGTGTGCTTGGGAGTCAAAGGCTGGTGTGGTGCCCAAGATGGGGAAAGCAGGTGAACAGATGCCAGGTGAAGGTCTGTCATTATCAAGTGCAACAGTATTTAAAGGAGTAAAAAGCAACATGGATGAAGAAAGAAACTTCTTCTCACGCTGGTTTTCTGGGTTTGATAATTCAGGATGTGCTTTTTCTGGCACAACAATGGCCTCTTTTTCTTCATCTGTTTCTTTAGGATTCAATTCCTTCGAAACAGGACACTCTCTCTCTTTCACATACTTCTTTACACACATTTTTGATTGAAGAGGTGCAATCATTTTTTCTGAGTGGGAGTTCAGTTTTTTAAGCTTAAGAGGTCCAAAGTCTTCATCAGGTAACTGAAAATCTGCGGTTTTGAAAAAAGATGACAGTTGCTTTAAACTTGGCATTTCATTCTTATTAAATGGAGGAGTGAAAGCTTCATGATTCAAAGTTAAGTTAGAAGCATTTCTTCTGGAACAAAGGGAATTCTTGTGACAATGATTCTTCTTCCCTAAAATAGGAAAAAATGAGCAACAATATAAAAACTCAGGAAAAGAAACATTGATAGTTTAAAAAGGAGTATACTCAACTCAGATATAGTATAAAATGTTCACTACTTTTCCAACCACAGCTCCTGAAACGTCAGTGAAGGATTTTTAGAAAATGTTTATAAATTACTGGCTAAGGAGCAGTTAGTTCTCCAGTTTTTAAAAAAGTTATTCTGTCTTTGGTAAAGGTTTAGATAGTAATTTTGGTTTTCATTCATTAAGTTGTTCAGTAGCATTCGTTAGCAGTTCTCCATCTGCAGCGTCTAAACAGCAAAAAGTACACTACTGAGAGTGTAACGTGAGAGAAGGCAGGCATCTTTTCACTGCCCAGTCACTGATTTGCTGGAACTGTGAGCAAGGTAACTCACTTTCTTTATCCCTTGCTGTCTGGCCTCTGTATGAGAGAGCTAAAATATCTCAAAAGTTCTTTATACCTCTCTCATTACATCAGGCCAGCCCAATGTATGGAACTGTACTGCAGAAAATAACGATCTTTTTTTCCACAAGAGTTAATTTACTTCTCCTAATGTAGTTGCAATTTTATATACTGTGGCTACCAATTACAAAAATTATGCTATTGTTGAGTCCCACTGAACTGGAATCGACTCAGAGTTGACCCCCCCAGCGGGTTTTCAGAGTTGGTAAATCACACAAGAGACTGTCCATCCTTCTCCTGTGGAGCTGCTGGTGGATTCAAACCATGTGCTTTTGGGATTGCAAGGAAGTTTCTTACCAGTAGGCCACCTGAACTCTCTATTAAAACGACAGCATATCATTTTAATGGGTGCTCCCAAAAATGTTCCTTATATTACTGACTGCTTTACTTTCTGATTCCTTCGTAGAATATGCTTGTTGGCTTAAAGATGAAAAAGAGATTCTTACTTTTCATCTAATGAATTATAGTTCATGGATCAAAGTGTGAGCTGAATCATAAAGAGCAGCCAGTATCTGTTCTGAGAAATAAAGGGGACTTTCAGGAGCCCATGATTGGAACACAGGAACATTTACATACTGTCTCCGGCAGTTTTCCCACTAGAGCTGAATGGACAGTATAAATTAAAAAGACTGATATAGTCATTGTCTTGTCCTTTACAGAAAAAGCCTGTTGACTGCTACAATAGTGTGAAAGGGATCAGCATTTTTGGTGCCATTTATCAGATATTAACTCTGAGTGAATGAAAAAATTTAAATTGTGTAAAAAAAAGAAAAAGTTTAAGTTGTAATAGCACTTGCCATCCTGCATTCCAGAGAACTTAGAAAGGCTACATTAGATGTTATTCAAAGTTGTATTTTTTTAAAAAAAAAGTTACACCAAAGAGAATTTCTCTTTAAATTATCTTAGTTGTTGCTGCTGTTAAGTGTTGTCAAGTCACAGGCGACTCATAGCGACCCTATTAAGGAGAGTCCTCAACGCTTGGGTGTCTCTCATCCTCTCTAAATTATCTTTTTTTTATTTCGGTAACACCTAAGAGAATTTTACTAAAACACACCTTGCTTTCACATTAAAAATACTTCCTAAGTTTTAGGAAATGTGAAATACTAAAGCCTCTAGTCATGGATAACGTTCATGCCAAATCTGAATGAATACCGTTGTTGAGTGCCTTCAAGCTGGTCTTTTACTTCTAGTAACCCCGTGTGAGTACAGAGCTCCTCAAAGGTGACCCCGGGTGGCGCAGTCCAGAATCATTGCTGCTCACCCAAGGACACCTCCTCTCTGGGGATCTGAATCCCTCAGCAGCTCCACGGAAGATGGACAATCTCTTCCCATGTGGCTTACAGCCTCTGAAAACTCACTGGAGGGTCAGCTAGGAGTTGGTTCCAACTAGTGTGCAACGAGTAAGGAAGTAAACTGTAATCTCTGTGTAATCACCAGGCTGCTGAGTGGGTTCACACCAACTTCCCATTATCAGCTGAGCCCTGACCATTGTGCTCCCAGGGCCCCATGAATAAATGTTAACTTTAGATAACCACTTTCTGAGTGTTTACTTTTTCAACTACATTATTAAACACTAGCACCATCCTGCCAAGTTTGAATCCTAACTCTCACTTGCTCCCTGTGTGACCTTAGTGAATCTCTTGTCTTGTTTTCTCATCTGTAATGGCAGAATAGAGATTACACCTCATACAGGCCTGTTGTGAAAATTCAACAATGTACATCCGTACAGCATTTAGATAGTGTTAGGCACAAACCAACCAAAGAAATCAAGCCACTGTTTTCAAGTTGAGGCTGACTCAAGAGTGACAGTTAACTAGCATTACCATCATCAAATCACGTTAAAGCTCGTCTCACCATCAAAAATTTCTTTTTCATTTTGCTTTCTGTGTGAGGTGACTTTTTTGGATCTCTTAATATCTGATGTACCAAAAGTTGGGAAAATAAGGTCAGGATCATCCAACGCTGTGGGACAGATGGGTTTTCTTTTTCCTTGGTCTTGTTGGCCAGATGGCTGGGTAACTGACTTCCTAGTAAAGCTGGTATCTTGTGCAAACCCAAAGGGACAGCTGACCTCCGTCGATGAGAGGAACTTCCGAGGAGGATTCTTTGGAAGTGGTTTTCTAGTTCGAGTGTCACACATCCCAACCTTACTTTGATCAGGTTCTTCACTGGAAAAGTTTAAATGTTTAGTTGCATCTTTATTTTTAAATTCTTTCTTCCTACCACCCAGGTGACTCTGAACTGCAGCTTCCAGGGCTAGCTTCTTCTGGTGCTTTGACATGCTTCGCGTTGTTCTGACGTAATATTCTGCAGGAAAAAGAAGACCACTGGGCGCTGTATTAGACTGTGCGTGATTCTCTGAAGGAACAAGAGAGCTTGGTTCTAGGCTCAATCGCTCCAGTTGACTTGGATCCTCAGTCTCTGGAAGACTTTCCTTCCTATCAGCAAGTATATTACTAGATTTTAAGGACTTCTCAGTGTGATTCTGTTCTTCCATGTTTTGGCTTTCACGTGCTGATATGTTACGGTGAGTGAGTTCATTTACAATACATGAATTATCTACCACTAAATTAGGCTGTCTAGAGAGCTGGTGACTTTCCTTTATATCTTTATTTACCATAGAGTTATCTCTAAAGACGACTTCCCCTTGGGCCTCTAAGTTTTCATGTGAAGTAGCATTCATGGTGCTAAGTGCAAAGTCAACATCAGGAGGCATGTCTTCAAGCTGCTGCCTCCTACTGGTCTCTGAGGGCACAGACAAATGAACTGGGGTCACCCTCAAGACACTATTATTTCCTTTTAACAGATCATCAATCCCTCTTTCTGGTTTGGCAGCTAGTGGGATCAATACAGTTTTTCCATTAGTTTCTGAAACTAGTCCCAATGAATCTGGAATCTCAGGCTTAGGACTAGGAAAGTGAGTTCTTATTTCATATTGTGGTTCCTTAAGAGTTTCTCTATTATTAACTTTTTCCTGTTCTTTTAATCTTTTACCAGAAAGCAAGAGTGAATCAGAGTCACTGACAGAGTCTCTGTCCTGAGAAAGAAAAGTTCCCTTCTGCCGTTGCTTTTTTCTCTCTGGCAGTGGACCGTGCCTTTTCTCGTCATCAGCATGGATGACCTTGCATGGAAAATGTTCTAGAAAGTCATCTGTTCTTTGTAGCTGTATTTCTTCCACTGGGCTAGCAAAAGCCTTTAAGGACTCAGGCTGGAGATCAAGTGTGACACATGTCTTTTCTCCACTTTCTTCATCAATATGCGTGCTGAGTTGTAATCTGTCACAAGAATTTATTTTCTTTTCAACGTCTGTGGAGGGAAAAAAAATTAGTATATTTTCCAAAATATTACTCGAACAAAATATATGCTCCCCATCAAAATTATTATATGATAAATATTTAAATAAGAATGATCAATGGTATTTTCTTCAGACAAGTTAAGGGTTACAGTTTTAATAATAAACCACAGTAATTTTAAGTAAATGTGCACAATTGACTTATAACACAAACAGTGGGCTTCTTCCTAAAACTAAGACTCATTTTATCACAATCATGTTGGCACTGTTTCACTTCATCTATTAGTTCTTTTTGTGGCTTAAATAATTTAAGTTTCATTTCCCTATTCTCTGAAGTGCCCTGGTGGCATAGTGCATATGTCTGGATGCTAACTGAAAGGTGAGAGGTTCAAATCCACCAGTCAGTTGTTCTATGGAAGACAGATGGGCAAACTCTCCCATAAGATTTACAGACATGAAGACCTGGTGGTGGTGGGTCACCATGAGTTGCAATCAGCCCAGTGGCAACTGAGTTTAGCATGCTCCCAAGTTCCATAGCTTCCAAGGCCATGATTGTATCTGACTTTAAATACCGGAAATGATCAGTTTTTCAAAACTATTTTCATTCAATTCCCCCACATACACCCCCCCCCCATGCACATACATCTGAAAGTATACAGAATCTCTTGCTCAAAGAATGGGAGAAAATACTTGCAAATTACATATCTGGTAAGGTTCTTATACACAGAACATGTAATAAACACAGACCAACAAAAAGAAAGCACTGTTATTAAAAGGGCCAAGAACCCATTTTAGTAATTCTTTAAAGAAGCATACAAATAGCTAACAAGACACATAAAAAGGATGCTCAATATCATTGTTACTCAAGTGCAAAGTCAGTGCCACTGAGTCAGAACTGACTCAGAGTTGGTCCTCCAGGAAGTTTCCAAGGCTGTAAATTGAAGGAGGAGACTGCTGGTGGATGTGAACCACCAGAGAGGTTGAGCCCTTGGATTAGTAACTTAACTCCCTGCTGACAAAGCTACCAAAGCTTCCTCTTCATTAGTTACTAGAGAACTGGAAATCAAAACCATGAAAATAGCTATGGTAAGAAAACCAAACCAAACCAAACCATAACTGTAGCTGGGAAACACTTGACAGTTCTTTTTTTTTTTTTTTAATTTTTTAAAAAATTATTTGTGTGTGTGTACCATCAAATCAGATCTGATTGGTACAGGAGGAGTGTTCCTCCTTTTCCAGCAGAGCATCTGGTGGATTTGAACCGCGTACCTCAGGGATTGCAGCGCAGCTTCTTTCCACTAGGCCACCAGAACTTGGCATTACTTGGCAGTTCTTGAAAAACCTATGCAGAGTTAACATATGACCTAGCACTTCTACCCATAGGTATTTACTAAAGAGAATAAAAATATGTATGTTCACACAAAAACCTGGACACAAATGTCCATAACAGCATTATTCCTAACAGTCAGAAGTAGAAACAATGCAAACATCCATTAACTGATGTTAAAGTGTAACATAGTGATGATGATAAAGTGTGATATTACTATATAATGAAATATTCATTTATTAAAAAAAGTGAAGTACAAGCTAAAAGATAGTTGTTGTATACCGTTGAGTCAGAACCGACCCATAGCTGACCCTCCAGCAGGTTAACTGTATGAGAGGAGACTGTCTATCCTTCTCTTGCAGAGCAGCTGGTGGATTTGAACTGCATGCCTCCTGATTGCTGTGCAGCTTCTTACCACTAGGCTACCAGAGAGCCCTACACTGTAAACTTTGAAAATAGGCAAGTAGAAGTTGGGTAAAAAAGGTCATTATACAAAATAGGTAAAAGATAGGGAAAGACTTTTCACAGAGGAAGATATTCAAATGGGCAACAGAAACATGAAGAAATGCTCAAAATCACTGGCAATAAGAGATGCTCCCCCAACAAAAAAGAGAGCTACAAATCAAGAACACAATGAGATATCATCTCACTCTAGTAGCAGTGACAAAGTTTAATGGGACAGCAAGTAATAAATGTTGGGGAGAATGTGGTGAGATAGGAACTTTTAAACACTATTGGTGGGATTGTAAAATGGTGCAACCATTCTGGAAGGCAATTTGATGCTTCCTCAAAAAGGTGAGCATCGAAATTCCAAATGGCCCAGCTATTCCACCGCTTGGAATATACCCCAAGAAAATAAGAACTGAGGCACAAACGAGACTTGTACACCAATGTTCACAGAAGCGTTTTATTCATCATCATAACAACATGAAAACATACTCCTCTCCAAATCAAATGGATTGAGAAATTATGGTACATTCACATGATGGATTACTACGCAGCATGCAGCAACAATGATTTTGTAAATCACTACCTAATTTGGGAGGGACTGGAGAGTACTATGCTACGTGAACTCATTCACTCTCATAACAAATACTGTGTAAGACTATTATTGTAGAAATAGATAACTAGTAAAATGTGTATGAGGATCTAAAGGGTGAGGGGGAGAGCAGAAGGTGAGGATGGGGGGGGGAGTGTAACCACAGGGCTGCACAATTTGATGGGTGGAGGAGGGTGGGTTAAGAAAATGGAAAAGATCTGGTGTGAAAAACAACGTATATGGACTTTGTAAGTAAACTATTATAAAATAAAAATTTATATATATATATATATATATATATATATATATATAGCCATCATACAGTCTTATTTATAAGGAATGTCCAGAACAGGCAAACTGGTAAAGATAGAAAATAGGTTACTGGATGTCTCATGCTTTGTTCAGCCATTCACCTGAATTCACCCACTGTCTGTTGACGGACACCTGAGTTGTGTCTATACCTGTGCTATTGTATATAACGCTGCAATGATCATGGGTGTACAAATACAAACTATGGTACAGACACACAATGGAGTATCGTGCAACACTAAAGAATAACGAAGGACTTCTGAAACACTGTATGATGTGGATGAATCCAGAGAACTCGGTATGGTAAATTTACTGTTGTTGGGTCATTTTAACTCATGGTGATCCTCTGCTTGGTTTCTGAGGTGGTAAATCTTTACAGAAGACTGCCAAGTTTTCTCCTGAGTAGCAGCTTGTGTATTAAAAGTGCTGACCTTTCAGTTATTGGTGCACTATGTTACCTGAGTTTCTTAGAAGATAATATTGAGTAAAACATGCCGGTCAAAATAGGACAAAACTCAGAGTACACAGAAAGGCTTACACATAAAAAGAAATAATCTTTGATGGTTACCAGAGATGGGAAGGAAGATCAGAAGTAAAAACAAACAAAAAGAAATTATCAGTAGTTGTCAAAGGTAAGGTAGAGAGGGAAATGAGGAGTACTGCTAATATGTAGTTTCCTTTTGGGGTGATGCCAATATTCTGGTGATGGCTACACAATCTTATGAATTTATCAAACCTATTGAATTGTATACTTTTAAGTTATCTGTTGTTATGGTTACACAATCCTATGAGTTTATAAAGCCCAGTGAATTGTATACTTTTTAGTTATCTATTACGTACTGTTGAGTCTAAATCGACTCATAGCGGACCCTTCAGTGGGTTTGCAACGGCCCTAAATAGCACGGAGAGGAGACTGCCCATCTTTCTCCCTCCGAGAAGGTGTAAGATTCAAACCATCTGCCTTTGGGTTGGCAAAGCAACTCCCTATCCACTAAGCCACCAGGGCTCCATTCTAGTTACCTATTATTCCAATAATAAATACAAGCAGATGGCTTTAACAGACAGACACGTATTTTCCTAAAGCTTAGGCAATGGTTCTGGGGAAAGATTTTCTCTGTCAGCTCCAGAGAAAGGTTTCTGCCTCTTCACCTTCTACTTCCTGGTCTCTTGGAGATCTTGGCATCTACCTTACCCTATTTCTATTGATTATTCATTTAATCTCCTATATACCTCAAAACATATTCACTCAAGACATACCCTATACAAATCCTGCCTTACTGACATCACAGCCACAGCCCATTTGCAACTCAGATTATAACTTCAGGCACAGACGTTTTATTTTGGAGGAGATATAATTTAATCTATAAAAACGTTCACAGAATGATTTTGTTATGTGACCTGTATCTTAATTTTAATAACAACAATAGTAATAAAATTTATTCCTCAATCTATTTTCTACACTGGGAAAAACTTACAGCCAAATATATTTGACAAATAATAAAGGACGCATGAATGTAGTCCTTTTACCTGAGAGGTTTAGCTGTGGGGAATTTTCCTGCTGGAGCAAGTGATTTTGATGTTCTGTTTTCTTAGCAGAATTCTTAACCTTCTCAGCTCTCTGTGCACGCTAAAAAAACAAACAAAACAAAACAGAAGCAGCTCAAGGAATATGTTTTAGGAGAAAAGTTCTATAAAGTTTTGTATTACGAAGAATTTCTTCTATGCAGTTTGTGCTAGAACATATCAACTTCTAAGAACAGTAAGATTCACTTACCTGAAGGCGGGCTAGTGTCTTGCTGTACTCCTTTTTCAGGAATGCTAGTTTTTGCTTCAACTGGAAGAAAGACACCAAACAATGCTGAGCAGAAGAGACGGTTTCAAAGGGCAGGGATATGGTGCCCACAGGGCGCAAGTGTGTAGTGCTCAGGACTCCTTCATCAAGGGGCATCGGATGAAGGAACACTGGTCCCTACCATTTCAAGGTCAGCTCTCACAAAACACCAAGCTCAGGACTCTTCTGTAAACTATTCCTATCACTTTGACCATTCCCCCTCCCCCGCACCTCCTCCCTTATTTTCCCAATTTCTAAGGATTCCTCGAATCACAGTTTAGATGTTTCTTTCTCTGAAGTGGCCTTCTAACCCCAAATCCACTCCTATCAAGTCAGTTCTGACTCAGAGCAACACTCCCTCAGGTTTCCAAGGTATGTAAATGGGAAGTGACTGCCCATCTTTCTTCCTGCGGAGCTGCCTATGAATGGGAACTGCTGGCTTTAGCTTAACAGGGTGACCAGAGTTCTCCAGAGGTGGCCTTTTCTGCCCTTTCCCAAATACAAATCAGACATTCCATTCCTTCCCTTGGGCGTCACCTAAAATAATGCTTATCACATATTTTTTTGATCTATTTACTAGTTTCTCCACCTCACAAAGAGAGCCTAGAGGCAGGGCTTCTAAGCCCTTCGAATGCAATTTACATTCAGACTGCTTCAGAGGACTTCCTCTTTACTACCTTATCAATAGCTGCAATTATCTTAACCACTTGCAAATTATCTGGTTCCTCTCCCACTCCCCTGGGATATCAGGATTGTTGTGGTTACATTACACTCACAGTGACCCTATAAACAACAGATCCTGAATTCTCTCCTATCCTGTGCCATCCTCACCATCTCTGATACATTTGACAATGGAAGTCAGAATGCTGTTGCTGATCGCCTTCCAGTAGAGCACTACTCATTGGGACCCTGTGAACAACAATAGGCTTGAAGCCCCTCTACAACTATCAACATTTATCAAAGTTCATAGAGTTTCGGGAGGCTTGTTATTTAGGAATTGGATGCCACTCCTGAAGTTAGAATAGGATTGACAAATTGACAAGACTCCAAAGTGGCGCACCTGGCTTGGCACAGCAAGTCACACCTTTGAGCTAACATGGGTGCAATTCATGAATAAACATGATGGAAGTTGCAGAATCATGCCGGCTTACACCATTATGAACATTCCCCCCTCAAAAAAAAAAAAAGTTCTATTACTTTTTGGGTAGTTGGAAAGCACCAACACAGCAACCACCATTAACCCCCTGGCACAAACATGAAGAAGCTCGTATATACCAGCCTGTTAATACTAATCATCTACGAGTGGGGAGGAACCAACAATGTATATCAGTCGTGGGGACTTTCTACACTTTCACATTGATTCAGTGACTGGGGTAACGGGGGTAGGTGCATCAGAGACAGTACGATTGGCACAGGATAGAACAGTGTTTAGAGCTGTTGTACATAGGGTCCCTATGAGTCGCAAGCGGCTCGATGGCTAGTAACAACAACATTTATGCATTCTGCTACTTGGATGAAAATGTATTAAACTTCACCAATTTAGTGTAGGGATTTTCAATATTTTCATTCCCTATTCCCCTCTCAACCCTGAGAGGCCAGATCAGAGGTCACGTCTACTCTCGAGCGGCAAAAAAGGGCCTCAAATGGTGGGAGTCTCAGGGCAGCCCTTCCCGCACCCCCGGCACCTTTTCCTTCTCCTCACAGCTGAGGGGCTTTCCGGAAGGCTCGTCCATCGGGCCAGCGGCAGAAGGAAATACAGCTGTCGCCGGCCCCGAGACTGCGAAGAACACGAGGACCGCGACGGACCCCAGGCGCCGCGGGCGCCTGTCGAAGCGAAGTAGGGCATGAGAATCCCGGGAGCACACGGCCAGCGGGTCCCGCACCCGCCCAGCGCGCCCTCGCCCGGGCCAATTAAATCCGACGTTCAACCCACGCACGCGCAGATGGCGACCGCCGAGCAACGGAGCGGGCCTGCCTAGAAGAGAGCCGAGCTGCGGATGGGGGCCGCCCAGAGCGGAAGTCGGGGACCAGCCAGCCGGAAGTAGTCCGGAACTCGGACAGAGGTTTTGACAAGACGGATTTGCGGCTTCTTAAAGGAGGTGACTAGCCATGGAGTTGGGCGAGCTGCTCTACAACAAGTCCGAGTACATAGAAACGGTGCGCGTGCCCTCTTTCCATGCATGTGTCCCTTTGAAGTCGGCCCTACCTCCCCATCCAGTCAGCTCCAGCCTCACTTCGGGGTCCTTTGGGCAACTCCTCCCGGATTACCTAGTGATGCTTCGTCTGTAGGCCCAGCTTTGTTATTTAGCTTTGCATGTCCAATGAGCCCTTTGTTGTATTTATTTCTTTTATTCCTTATGGATGAATTGCCTTCCACAAGTCAAGACCAAGTCCCTTCCATCCATATATTAATTTCAGCTCCGGACTTTTTCCTCTTTTAAAGTTGATATTTCTTAATATGTAACTGTGTGCTAAAGACCATTTATTAGGGTCTTTATCGCCAGTAAACAGTATAAATTATATGTAAAGTGCTTGAAATAGTAAGTGCTCAGTCAGGGTTACCACTTTAAGGTGGCTTTTTTTTTTCAGCTTTCATTAATGATACAATCCATGCCACTTTAGGTTAATAACATAACTGTAATTGGACTCTATGTCTCTGATACTGCTAACTTGTAGACCTGCTGTTTCCAACTTGTGAAACTATTCCTTGGAACCCTAGTGTTTTGGGTTTTTTTTAACAAATTTTTTTTTTATTTTGTGCTGGTTTACTTACAAAGTTCATATGCATTGTATTTCACACCGGATCTTTCACATTTATTTTACCTACCTCTCCTCTCCATCAAATTGTGCGACGCTATGATTTCTCCCATGCCCATCCTGACTCCCTGCTCCTACCTTCCTCCCCTTGGATCCTTGTACCATTTTACTAGTTATTTTTGTTTCTACAATAATGGTCATACAGTATTTGTCCTTATGAAACAGAATTAGTTCACTTAACATAATGCTCTCCAGTTCCTCCCAAGTTAGGTAGTGATTTTCAAAATCATTGCTCCTGCGTGCTGCATAGTACGGAGCCCTAGTGTTTTGATCCAAGCTTGCTGTTCTGTGATCAGGATTCCATTGTAGACTGCCTCTTATTTCAAGTTCTTTTCTCTCCAGGATAAGCTTTCCTGATGGAAACCAGCAACCCAGAACCCACTCACTTCGTTTGCCTCACATTTTTGCATTCTTTCAGGCATCGGGGAACAAAGTTAGTCGACAGTCGGTGCTGTGTGGAAGCCAGAACATCGTTCTCAATGGCAAGGTAAGAGGCAAAGCCAGGTCAAGGATGAATTTTTTTCTTTTTCTCCAATAAGTACCACTGTAGTAAAGCAGACAAAATTGTGTTTTGTCTCCTGTTTATTATACATTTTTCCAAATGTCTTTTTTTTAAAAAGATGCTTTATTGTGGATGTTTAGTGCTTACAAAGAGTATATACGTGACATAAATGATGAAGCATTAAAAAAAGCAACGAGCACCAAACTGAAGAACTGAGCTCTTGTGGCCTGGTGGTAAGGAGAGACACAGTCAACACTAAGGCATGCAATTTGAATCTATCAGTCTTTCCATGGGAGAAAGATGAGAACTAACCTCCTGTATGATTAACTGCCTCTGAAAACCTGCTGGAGAGTCAGCCATGGGTCGTTTCTGACTCCAAACATATAAAAACAAGAACAACTGAAGAACTGGGCATAATATGAGTGCTTGTTGATCATCAAGTCAGAACTGTTCCGTAGCTGACCCTTCAGCAGGTTTTCAAAGGGAGTAAATCGCACAGGGTTGATTTCCCATCTTTTTCCCTCATATACCTTTGCATTGGCTGCATAATTCCTTACCACTAAGCCACCAGAGATCTCTTTGATACAGGTAGTCTGCACTTACATATATTTTTTTTTCATTTTTATTGAAATTTTAACAAACGTATACAGAAAACTTGCATTTCCATTCATTCATTGTTCCACATTTTCTTCCCTACTCCTCACCTTCCCCCAGTTCACTTTTCTCTTTAAAATATTTTTTTCATTGTTGCACAATTTCCTCCCTCCCCACCCCAGTCCACTTTGCTATATATACTTCTTACTCTAGACTGTTGTCATACTAGTAATACTTAATCATATATTTCTTTTAAGCAGTTATTTCCCTCATCTATTTTAATGGAATGTGCATTATTTATCTCCTCTTTTCCTAGTTTCCCCTCAACCCCCATATCAGTCCTGTTTTATAACAGTGGCTTTATGCAGTATTTATCCTTTGTGACAGATATTTCACTCAGCATAATGTTCTCTTGAGTCATCCATTTTGTATAATATTTTGAGTTCTTTGTTTTTCAGTGCTGTATAGTATTCCATTGTGTGAATATACTACAGCTTCTTTATTCATTTCTTTGTTGATGGACACTTGGGTTGTTTCTTTCTCTTTACTATTGTGAATAATCTATATGTTTATGTGTTTAGCTCCATTTCCTTTCAGAATTTTCACATTTCAATTTTTCTCAGTTCTTCTGTTAGGTGTTCAATGTGGGTGGACTAGACAGGGATCATATGAGTAAAGAAAACAGCATGTGAAACATCAGAGAGTAATGGGGCTTAGGGAATTAGGGAGTCCTGACCAACTTGCGCTTCTTCCAGTTGGTTATGTGGAAGTAGAGATCTATACATACAGAGCTTCTGATTTTTCAAAGGAAACTAGAAATTTGGACTTCCTCTGATGTAAAACATCCCAACAGAACATGTAGTTTAAATGATTGAAAAGCTGCTTCATGGACCACATACAGTTACTGGTTGAGTCTGCCTTCATTCCTTTTTTTACTCCTGCCTTGTCCACTCTTAGAGTTCACAGAAATATTAAATAGTCTCTGGTATAATCTTCTTCCTTACAGGCCTTTCTTTTTTTCTTACTTTCTTTTCCACTAACAATAGTTTTGCGTCTGTATATTTCGTTTTAATTGTGGTAACACATTTAGGGTGTTCTGGTGATGTAGTCCATAAAAAGTGTGCTGCTAGGGAGCTCTGGTAGCCTAGTGGCAAGAAGCTGCACTGCAATCCCAAAGGTGCACGGTTCGAATCCAACAGATGCTCTGCTGGAGAAGGAGGGGCAAATTTCTCCTGTGCCAGTCGGATCCAATTCAACGGTACACCAGATTAAAATAATAATAATAATAATAATAGTAATAATACTTTTTTTAAAGTGTGCGGCTAACCCAAGGTGACACCTTTCTGGTGGTTTGAACCTACCAGTCACTCCACAGGAGAAAGATGGGCAGTCTCCTCCCATGCCATTCACAACCTCTGAAAACCCACTGCAGAGTCAGCTATGAATTGGTTCTGACTCAACAGAAATGAGGGTGGGGTTCAGGTTTTTTAAAAAAATTTATTATTATTTGTATGTGTGTGCACCATCAAATCAGATCTGACTGGTGCAGGAGGAGATTGCCTCTCCTTCTCCAGCAGAGCATCTGGTAGATTCGAACCACGCACCTCTGTTGATAGTTGTAGAGGGGCTTCAGGCCTTTTGTTCATAGGGTTGCTGAGTCGTGCTCGACTTGAAGGCAATCAACAAAATATAACAAAAACACTTGACATTTTAATAATTTTTAAGTTATGCAGTTCAGTGGCATTAATTTACTCACCATATTGTACAGTTATTACCACTGCTTCTAAACTCTGTTCATCAACCCAACCACAGAATTGATTCTCATGTGCAATATGAAAGTAAAATTTGGGTTCTAAATCCTTCTAACTTTAAGTTCTTCCTAAATTTCTTTCCCTTCTTGCAGTTCCATTGATGTGCTATATATTTATACATTTGCTGTTTTTATTAAAGTATAATTTAACCCCACTGGAGGGTCAACTATGAATTGGTTCCTACTCAATGACACCAAACAACAATTTATGTTATGGATTTTCCTTACTCATAGATTAAGAGTGTATTCATACACATAATTAAAAATAATAATAGAAAAACAATCATCAAACATTGAGAACTCTTGGAATTAAGTTCTCTTTCAAAAGAAAAGGAAATCACCTTCTCTGATTGTAAATGAAAACATAAAACTGAAAACAGTGATTAGTAAATTAAAGGGTCTCAGATGAAAGAAGTACATACTAGAAATAAGCCTCTGTCCTGTGTGGTGTAAATCGCTAACACATTGAGCTACCATCTGAAAGGTTATGGGTTAGAGTCCATCCAGAGGCTCCTCAGAAGATCTACTTCTGAAAAAAAAAATCACTCACTAAAAAGTCTGTGGCATCACAATAAGTCAGAAACAATATGATGGCAGTTTTTGTTCCTTTAAAACTTAGAGAAGCTATCTTCCGAAAATCAAGAGGAGCTATAGTATTTTGTAATCAGCAGTCTATGCAAAGGTGCTATTGTTCCCCATACGTGCTTATTGTCAAGTGCCAATGGGTCTACTGCCAAGTGCACCTTAAGTCTTTAAAGTGAATGCTTGCTTTTAGCACTTTGAAGAGGTCCTGGACAGCAGATTTCCCCAATGCAACATGCTTTGCTTTCTTGGACTGCTGCTACCATGGGTGTCAATTGTGGACCAAGTAAGATTAAATCCTTGACAACGTCAATCTTTTCTCCATCTGTTATGATTTTACCTATTGGTGAGGATTTTTGTTTCCTTAATGTTGAAGGTTGTAGTCTTTGATTTTCTTCAGTAAATGCTTTCAAGTCTTTCTCATCTTCTCCAAACAAGGTTGTGTCATCTGTATAACAGGTTCTTCTACAGACCGGTGTTTTGGCTGAAAGTTGAACCGTGGAGTGAGTTTTGTTCCAGATTTGAAGGGTTACTAAGGACCACAGTTTCAGAGCTTCTCTCAGTTTCTATCAGATATAAAGTCTGGACTTTTTTTTTTTTAAAATTTGTTATTTCAGTGAAAGTAAAAGGATTTTTATTCAGTCATTTAGACACAGTTTGTCTTATAACATTATGATAATACAATGTATTCATCCATTTCCTGCTTCCTCCCTCTAGTTCTGACTTCCATTAATCCTTCTATCCAAATTCTTCCTGCCTTCAGAACTTTGTTCTTAGGGAAATGCTGCTCTTTTGACCTTTTACCATTCATTACTCTAAGATGTGAGTGTCTCCCTGGTGTCATTGGTGACTTTGTTGTTGTTATTTTTATGTGTCATTGGGTCAGAACCGATTCATAGCTGATGCGTGGGTTTTCAGAGGCTGTCAGTCACAGGGGAGGAGATTGCCCATTTTTCTCCCTAGAGCAGCTGATGAGTTCAAACCACCTGCCTGGTTGGCAGTGAAATTCCTTACTCTGGGCTATCAGCACTACCCTATTGGTCACTTAATAGGCCAGTAAGATTTTTTTAGCTAAAAGTGGAGCGATGGAGATGAGTTTTGTTCTAGGTTCCAAGAGTGACTAGGGGTCTCTCACGTCTCTGTTGGACTGGTAAGTTGGGCCTTTTTTTATGTTGTTTTTTGTTTGTTTGTTTTTTAAATTTTGTTCCACATTTTCCTTTACCTTTCTTTGTTCTGGAGAAGGAGAGATCAGTAGTTTAATCTTGGACAGATGTTTTGCTTGTAAGTTTTTAAGACCCTAGTGGACTCTCCACCCCAACAGTGGTCACCTGGAGGTCCCAACACCAACAACTCATTCATTCAGGCTGGTTGGTTTTAAATAAGAGGTTAATAACTTTGCCCCTGTTGACACAAGATTTATTTCCAATATATACTAATGTTTTTGTGGTTAGGTGTCATTGAGTATGACTCCTAGCAACACAATGAACAGCAGAGCTGAAGCCTATCCTATCTTGTGCCATTCTCATCACCTCTGACACACTCGAGCCCATTGCTGCAGTCATTATGTTAGTCCTTCTCATTGGGAGTCTTTCTTTCCTTCACGGAACCTTTCTAAGTATAATGCCCTTTTTCAAGGAATAGCTTCACCTAGCCACATGTCCGGAGTATGAGAAATAAAGCTTTGGCATCTTTGCCTCCAAGTAGCACCCTGACTGCAGTTTCTCCAAGACATATCTGTTTGTTCTTTTTTGCAGTCTGTGGGATATTCAGCACTCTTCTTCAACACACAGCTCAAAGGCATCAATTCTTCTTCTGTCATTTTTTTGTCCAGCTCTCTGATGCATAGCAGGAGCTTGAGAAGACCATAGCCTGAATCAGGCACACTTTAGTCTTCAAACTGATATCATTGCTCTTAAGTATTTTGGAGAAGTCCCTGACTGCGGACGTCACCAATGCTGTATTGTTATTGTTGTTGTTAGGTGCCGTTAAGGCCTGTATGGCTCATAACAACCTTATGAACAACAGACAGATCTGAGCCCTGTCCAGTTCTTTGCCAGCCTCACAGTCTCTGACATACTTGATCCCATTGCTGCAGTCACTGTGTCAATCCATCTGGTTGAGGGTCTTTCTATCTTTCACTGTCCCTCCGACCTTTCTAAGCAGATATACCTCTCCAAGGTATAGCTTCTCTTGGCAACATGATAAAAGTATGCAAGACATAGCTTTATCACCTTTGCCTCCAAGGAGCACTCTGGCTACACCTTTTCTAAGACATAGCTGCCCAATGCAACACATCTTCTGATTTCCTGGCTGCTGGTACTAAGGGTGTTAATTATTGATCCAAGCAAGATGAAATTATTAACAGCTTCACTCCTTTCTTCATGTATCATTTGTTGACTATATATCAAGTTGTTGTTATATGCCAGCAAGTTGAAAATGACCCATAGCTGACCATCCACTCCCACCAACAGTGAACAAGGGTTCTAATTTCTCCACAACCTCGCCAGCATTTGTTGCTTGTGTTTAAACTCTTTAATTGACATAACGTTTTGGGGGGGGGGGGAAATCTGCACTTCTTTGATGAATCAGGTCCCTGCTTATGTTTCTATTGAGAACTCCAGCCATTTGGGTTTAATCTTATTGTACTCTTGATCTGATTTACATTTCTGAAATGCCTGCTCTTTATCTAGTGCGGCCCAGATTCCTTGACTTTTTGTGTCACACATTCCCACTTGGCAGTCACTGGGGAGTCCAGATGCCTCACCTGGCATTGTAGCACTTCTTCTGAGTCCAGATGTTAGAGGAGGAATTGGAACTTTGATGGGTCCACCTATAGGAACATGAGATCGGAGATGGTGATGTTAGGAGGTAAGGCCAAAGGGAGAGCCAGCAGGACTCTCCTTGAGCAAGTAGCTAAGACGGGGGGCAGGTGGCTATGAGCAAATCTAAGGAGGTACATAAACTACTCTCATTTGTTTAAGATAGCACACCTGTGGAAATAATTCATACACACCTGTAATGTGCACAGTGGACGTAAAATTAACATGAGGGAGTTACATGATTTAGAAAAATGCATACATAAGATGCATCATGTGTTAAAATACAGTAAATTTGCAAAAAATGCTCTCAGTAAAGGTTTGTGTGTTTAGTGAATCCTCTTGATGCACCATGAACATCTCTAACACTCTGCAGTAAATGCTGTTAGGACGAGTCTTTTCACCTTACAGCTTCTCTCTTTTGACAGAACATGCCGTAATGTGGGTCACACCATCACTTTTAATCAGTGTGCTGTGGCCTATGCTGTTTTGTTGCTGTGTGGGTAATTTTACAAACATATTTGTTTTGCAGACCATTGTGATGAATGACTGCATTATCCGAGGTGACCTGGCCAATGTGCGAGTTGGACGCCATTGTGTCGTGAAAAGTCGTAGTGTCATAAGGCCGCCATTCAAGAAATTCAGCAAAGGGTGCGTGATTTATGACCTCATTTCCGTCTTTGGGAAGGTGCTGCTGAGAGTGTATTGTCCGTATGTTTAGTTGTGTAGTGAACAGTCTGTGTCCTCTTGCGTGGGGTATGGGCTTCACCAGAATGAGATACTTTGTTCGCCATAATGAGGACAGCTCTTGCTCTTGGTCTCCATGATTGGTTGTCAGAAACAGAATCCACTTCAGCTAGCAAAGAAACTCACTCACTGAGTTGGAACCAGCTAATAGTTTACACTTCAGGGGGTTTTCAGAGGTTGTAAATTGCAAAGAAAGAGATTGTCGACCTTTCTCCCTCAGAGCAACCAGGGGATCCAAACCACCGACAAGCACTGCCTGGGAGTTAGACGCACAGCTCCCTCTGACATCATCTCCGGAGCTGCCTGGGAAAAGCAAAACACAAAATGATCCCTGGGGATTTGATAAACCAAATAGTTGGAAAGGATTAAAAGGGGAATGCAGCACTCCTTAATCCATCAAAACCCTAACCTGATGTAAAAATAGTTTTCCTGTATATAACCCACATTATGGCATGTTCTGTCAAATAAGGAAAGCTGTAAGTTCAAAGACGCTGACTGTAGAGTGTCAGAGATGTTCACAGGGCATTAGATAGGCTTCACTGAAGACAATAACCTTTACTGAGAGCATCTTTTGCAAATTTACTGTATTTTAACACATCATGCATCTTTTATATTTTTATAAATCACATAACACCCTCATATTAGTTTTTTAAAATAATTCTTACAAGAATATTGAGGGAGGAAAGTGAGCCAAGAGTAAGGGAATCTTAGTACCACCAAGAGCTAATCCTAAGAATGCAGTATGATCTTTTGGACTCAGGTTTTTGCGGGGAAGCTTCTTGACACTAGGAAAGGCACAGATGAAAATCTCCTGGGAGTGCTTGGCCTACAGCTGCTGAAGGAAATAAGAACTTTCCTCCATAACAAATGGAGCCTTTCCCTAGAGCTAGCACCCTGAACATGGATTTCTAGCCTCCTAAACTGAGTGTCGATAAGGTGCCATCGAGTCAACTACGACTGCCCGTGACCCTGTGAACAGTGCGCTGAACCTTCTCCATCCTGCGCCCCTCCTGATCCCTGCTGTGCTCCAGCCTGTTCATGCTTTTGTTCCAGCTCCGTGAGGGCCATCCGCTTTTTCACTGACCCTCTACCTTTCCCATCATGATGTCTTTTTTCAAGTACTGGCCTTTCCTGAGAACCTGCCCACAGTATGTGAGAAGGAGTCTCACCGTCCTTGCCTCTAAGGAGCACCCTGAAAAGTGCAATATAATAAATTCTGTGCTCACTTCGGCAGTACATATACGAGAAATTGGAATGATACAAGGAAGATTAGCCTGGCACCTGCACAAGGATGACACACAAATTGGCGAGTAAATTCTGTTTCTTAAAGCCATCCACTTTGGTAGCTCTGTTACAGCAGCATTAGGTAATTAAGACAGTGAGTAAGGCAGTGACTCACACACTCTCACTTATTTGCTGTGGAGTTTGAACCAACTCATAGCTAATCCTCCAGTGGGTTTTCTAAGACCCTAAGCTTAGCACCACAGCTCCGTATGCCCACCAAAGGTCTCTAAGACAGTGACTTATTCAGTGACTCATAGCTGACCCTCTAGTGGATTTTTAGAGGCTGCAGATCACACAGGAGTAGACTGGCCATCTTTCTCTCATGGAGCAACTGGTGGATTCGAACTGCCTGAGAGGCGTCCCCTTTTGGGTTAACAGTGCAGCTCCCTACTGACTAGTCCATCAGAGTTCCCTTAAGACTCTGTGGCAGAAAAGGAGAAAAAAGGAGGTCAAATCCCAGCTCTGGCCTGGCCAGGACAACTTGCTTGTCTAAAAAGACAGTGACTAGAAACACCATATTAAACAGTTCAGTGCACCTTGGAAATCAGTGTCCGATAGCTGCCAAAAGCCTGCTATGTTCCACTCATCCTTTAAATCTTCGCTTAAATGTCATTTTCTATTAAGCTTTCCCCCAAACCTCCAGACTGGGTAACACTTCCTTGTTACATACATTCAGAACCTATTCTTTTTCTTCACTGTAGCACTCACTGCAATTTTAAGTATAGAGATTGAGATTGTTAACAAATTTAGTTTGCTTGACTCTACAATCAACATTCTTGGCACCAGCAGCCAGAAAATTAAAAGACGTATTGTGATGGGGAGGTCTGCTGTTAAGAGACCTCTCCAAAATACTGAAGAGCAATGGTGTCACTGTGGAGACCAAGGTGTGCCTGATACAGGCCATGGTCTTTGTAATCACTTGCTATGCATCAGAGAGCTGGACAATGACTAGGGAGGATAGAAGGAGAATTGATGTCTTTGAGCTGTGGTGTTGGAGAAGAGTATTGAATATACCATGGACTGCTAAGAAAACGAATAGATTCATCCTTGAGAAGGTGAAACCAGGCTGCTCCTTGGAGGCAAGGATTCTGAAGCTTCGTCTGACATACTTTGGACATGTTGCAAGGAAGGACCAGTCCTTGGAGAGGGACATGATACTTGGGAGGATGGAGGGACAGCGAAGGAGAGGAAGACCCTCAATGAAATTAATTGATTCAATTACTGGGGTAGTGGGGTAGGTGTATCAGAGACATTGAGATTGGCACAGGATAGAGCAGGGTTAGGGCTGTTGTATGTAGGGTCACTATGAGTCACAGGCAACTTGACAGCACTTAACAACAACAACAACAATCTTGTAATCTCTCTTGTCTTCACTAAATTGTCAGCTCCTCATAGGTGAGGGTTTTGTTTCTATTCCTCACCATTATTTCTCCAGATCTTAGCCAGAGTCTGGTATGCATTACTGTTAGAGATCAACAACACAACACATCATCTGCTCAGATAAAAGCACAAGTGGTTTATTGAGGGAGACAGTCAAGGACAGAAAAATATCCATTATCACATAGTGAAAATGACTGCTCCACTGGACAACAAAAAGGGAACTCTTCTGCTGTTAGAGAGGGAACTGAAGGCTACAAAGTTCATAACTGGCTAAAAGACCAGCAGGGGCGTTAACGGAGAATATCCAGAAGTGAGGATTTGACGGGTAAATAAAAAACATATAAGTGGAAGGATGATTGAGTAAAAGTACTTGCTAGTTGGATTATTTAAGAATAGTCCCAGGATGTCCACAGGACAAGTTTTTCTTATAACCTTTTGGTAAAATTGCTTCCTCAGTCCTGTCTGTTTCTGAGGGTCCATTGTTAAGATCTAACGATAATTCTGTGCATCAAAACCCCTAGGGCAAAAGCTCTTGCATCTTGCATCTGTTTGACTATAATAAGACAGATCCTCTGGGAATAGATTGTGATATTCTGCATCTGTCATAATGTCAGAGAAAAGGAATGTCATTGTTAGGTTACATGGCCAGGTCAACACCAAGGTTAGAACTATCCTTTGGATAGACAGCTTTAAAAAATATAGCATGGGGGGAGGGAATGATATATTTTATATATACAAAATTTATATAAATATATATAGCACCTGGATTCCAGGATCATATCAAGACTTTGAATTGGAGTTAAAGCTCTGCTTTAAAACTTTTCTATTTGCACTAATTTTAGACTCACACAGTACACACTAAAAAATATTGGTGAATAAACAAAACTTCAGAGTGTTGGATACTGAAAATTGTAGCTCAAGAATGGTATCAGTCCCCTGAAATACAGTTCTGTTCTAGGAGATAGAAAAGATGTTCCAGAGTCAACCATATTCTCTGGAGAGCCTAGAATTATAAAAATCTAAAGAAAAATTATCCTGGAATGAGGGGAAACAGTGGACATGGTGCTGAAGATATTTTGGGGAATTATAGCCGTGGGTTTCATTTGTAGAATTTAGAGACAGAGAAAATCACCATCAGATCATAATTGGTGGTAGTTACAATCCATCAGTGTTGCAGGTATGTCAGCAAAAGCTGGCAAAAGATCATGATTGGGATATATACACAGTTGCAGATTTTAAAAGCTTACTGAATAATTCTAGGGCTTTGCCTACCTAGATATTGTGGTGGTCAGACCTGTTGTGCCACACTGTTGTTTTCATCAAGCCATTAAGGGTACACTCTGAGGAGTTCCCTTGTTCTCATTAAAGATACACTCTGAGGAGTTCCCTTGTTCTTCTCTGAATTATCCCCATAGGCTCATTGGAATTTGTAGTCTACTTTCAGCTTCACTTTTCCTGAGTGTAGCTCACTGCCTGGTTAACTGGCCAGAAAGAACTCAAATAATGTCTGCACTTAAGAGTTGAAATGGAATTACTGTTTTACTGTAGTCTTCAGTTTTTAACTAGCTCAAGTAAGTTTCACAATGTAAACTGTAACACAGTTCTAAAAATTACTATTTTCAAAGACAGGAAGAATGAACAGATATTTATTAGTTTTCATCTAGGGTCTGTTCTTGACAGCACATAACAGCAACAGCAATTTACAGTGAAGCAGCTTTTAAGGTCTTCCCTCTTTGTCTTCTTAAACTTTCTTTGGACACATTTTTGGTCTAATATGAATGATTTGGAGTTAGTAAACATTTGTCCTCTGCACTAGTAGAAGTTCTCTAGTTTGAAGATTTCTTTTTTCCTTGTCGGGATAGTCCTATTAGGACAAGATGATTAAGTTGAAATTGTGAACTACATTTTTTCCTTTATAATTTTATACTGGTTTACTTGCAGTGTTGGTATACATTGTTGGGTTTTTTTTGAACTGTACTTTTTATAAGCCTTGACCAAAAGTGCATTTATTACCGTGGCTTCTGTTTGCTTCCTTCCCTTCTCTAGAGTTGCATTCTTTCCTTTACACATCGGGGACCATGTTTTTATTGAGGAAGACTGTGTGGTCAACGCAGCTCAGATTGGTTCTTATGTTCACGTTGGGAAGAACTGTGTGATTGTAAGTATGGGGACCCTTGACCGACTAAACAACCTTCCTTCTCTTTCAGCAGTGGCTCCCTGCTTCTCTGACCAGGCAGGTAGGAGAGGTTTCCAGTGTTCTGGAGGGTGAATGTTCCCTGCTGGATTTACAACTTTCTGTAGAATCAATATTAAGGAATAGGAGCTCTACCTAACTTTGTGGGTAGAGTATCAAGCTGCTGACCTTAAAGTCAGTAGTTCAAATTCACCAGGTTCTCCAAGAGAGAAAAAAAAAAGAGTATTCTTCTCCCATTAAAATTTACAGCCTTGGAAACCCGAAAGAGCATAGCTGTGAGGTGAAATCCACTTGCCCACAGTGAGCCGAGTTAAGTTGTGGGACTAACTCTGTGGAGCTGCTTCTGCATAATAAACTCTTTTCCTTGGGTCATTTCATTTCATCCTCACAACCATCCAAGCATGAGAGGTACTGTTGTTAACTTGTTAACTTCATTTTTCAGATGAAAAGACTGAAAGCCCTGAGATATTAAAGCTATTAAGTAATGGAGCTATTAAGTAAAAGCTAGGGCAGGATAATTTTCCATGTTGCTTTATGTTCCACCTGTTGCCTTACCTCAAAGATCTTTCAGGGAATTTTGAAGGGTAGGCAAAAATTGTGCCAGAGCCAAGCAGATGATGATCGTTGTAGGAAAAGGATTGATGTTTATAAGGTTCTGAGTCACTAGAGAGCATGACAGCCGAGACACTTCAAGTGATTGCCTTTGGGCTCCATGGGAACTCTCCCCAGCAGATCCTGTGTGACCCTTCTCCATGGGAGCTAGGTTTCAGTTTAGCCTAACCAAGGCTTCATAAGATTACATTTCTTACTGTTTCATAGATAAAAAGGTTTATTTGGGTATTTGTTTTGGCTTGGAATTTATAAGAACATCCTAGATGTCAATGTTAGCAACCAGAGCTGAATTGCCTTAATGTTCAGCGAAAGTGTTTCCTACATTTTAAATATGTCCCTCAGGCGTGACTCAAGTCAACTTCCTGCCATGAAGTCAGAACCAACCATTAGCTGATCCTCTAGCAGGTATTTGAAAGCTGTAAAATAGCGCAGGAGGAAATTGCCCATGTTGGTCCCACGGAGCTGCTGGTGCATTCGAATTGCCGCAGAGACACCACCACCTTTGGATTAGCAGGAATTCCAGGAAAAACCAAAACTCTTTTCACGTCTTTCACATAGGCCTTCCCAAAATACAAAGTCAGCTTTCAACCCTGCATGAGACTCATACACTGAACTAACTTAAAAACAAAACAACATGCAGAAACCATTCTTCACATTTTTTCCCTTTTTTAA